GCGAGTAAGGAAGAATCATGTCTTGGCCCGTCCCAGGGCGACCAGGGTACCAGAATCAGACGGCTGGGCGCAAATTCACTTCCTAAAAGAACGTGAGAGAATGATTCCTGTCTGGTACTGCCCCGGCTTCTGGTGTGGCCATGTGTGGTTGGGGAGTGCAGGGGTTGCGAATAGGCTCATTCGGCTGTCGCTGACAGGGCCTAGCTGAACCCACCGAGGGCAGAAGACCGAACTAGTGCCGCCCCAGCTGGGCAGCCATCCGCAGTAACGCTGAAGGTGTGACCCTGCGCTAGAGTTGTACAGCTGCTATGTTTCGGATCAGCAGGGTGAGTGGCTTTTGCGCGCGGCATCCCAGAGATAGATGAACGCCAAGATGCTGTATAAATGAACGAGGACTGGTCGTTGGAGGAATAACTCAAAGCAGAGCTTCGCCGTGCGCGCGGCGGATGGCGTCGCCTATCTGAGCAGATGCGCTGCTGATCTGATGGGGGGCATTGTCATCATGAGTGTGTCGGGGTGACCCCTGGCCTAGTTGCTCACAATGAGTTGCTAACGAGTTCAGACTTGAGTGACCGGCTCCCACCTCTTTACACCTTTTACCTCACGTTGAAAGCCCATTTTACGGCGAGTTCTCAACTATAGAGCAACACTGATGCGAAATGAAACTTCTACAACTCACTTCCTTGTAACTTTCCGGCATTTTGCGATCACTTAGCAGCGAACTCTATAACTCTAAGACAGTATGCCCGTCATAATGAGGGAAGTGAGAGGGGCGGTCATTGACCTGTGCATCTACCCGCAACCTTGGCATGTTGCACTATTGAAAAGGGGGATTAGCTGCCAAGACTGCGAATATTGGCATTCTGCACTGCCAAACTCTGCTTTCCAATCATCGTGCGGTTCAACTGCCCACTCCACCATATACCAAGCACGAGAACAAAAGGCAATGACGGTCTTGTGTTGCCCGTTCAAGGCGAGCGGTTTCCGTGGCCTTCTTCTCGCCTCTCACGAGTCACCAATGCACCAAGGTCCTCATACCAACTGAGCCGATGGCGCCAAGACGTTTATATCGAGTGAACCTTGGCATTCTACAACGCAGGAGATTGGGACCTGAACTTCAAACGGCTCGTATTCGATCAGCAAGAATCCACAATCAAGGCGAAAACACCTGGCTCTCTCAAGAGACAGGAGAGAGCACGATCCGCCAAAACGAAAATCAAACTGGTAACATAGACGTATGCCGGAGGGAGATTCTTGTCAATGATTACAACTCGAAGTCGTTTGCGATGCCTGGCCAGATCCAGCGGATCAACACTCGCTCCAGGCTTTTACCAACTCCATAGCGTCGTGCATATCTTCTGCACCAATCAATACCGAAAAGGTCAGCATCTGTGGTGACACCAGCTCGTCTTAGGACCTCTCTGCCTAGCGACGACTACCGCAATCCTTCATGATATCGACCGGCGGTTGCATCCTGCCGAACTCTCCAGATCGCCCCGGTCATGTGGCGATCTTCGCGGCCGATTCATTTTGCACGAATGAGATCGTTTCCACTGTTTCCGAACGACCATACGGAAAAGCCACCGAGATGTCTTGAAGAAGACGGTGGGTTAATCAAAGCTAATATTACATCCGTCTACAAATTCCACTCCATTGTAAGCGATTCCCGGCTAGTTTTAACTTGCTGCATTAATTCGATTCAGGAACAGTGTCCACGTTGATCGAGGTCAGAAGGATGACCTTGGACGATGGGTCAAGACCACATGCACCGATTACAACCGCGCCAGCTATATTCATGGTCTTGACCTGCATCTCGAGAGACATCAGATGATCATCAGGAACGAGGTTGGCGCCTGGCTCAGCCACATATTGCTATGAGCTTCGAGTCAGTTGCCACTCTACTAACAGGTTGAGCAATTGTCGGCGGGCGGGCAGACCAGCATTCAGGATGCTTGCCACAACTTTGAGGTCTCACGACTTGGAAGCACACTAGGTCTAGGAATCTTGCTATCCCATCTACAACGTAGGCGGTCCTTGTCACTTAGTGCATGCACCTTGCTATCTTCCTGGACCTTGGTAACAGCTCGTCGCTTTACATACTTCCAGAAGTACTATCTCGAGCAAAAACATTCCCCAGTCTCCGAATGACTAAGTATCGATTCAATTCTTCCACCTCGAAAGCAGGCGAGCGGTCCGAATTCAGAATGGTTTGATGTACGGCCCGAGTCTTTCGCAATCGTTATACTGGCAGTACACGTATGGACAGCTAAACAGGGATGAAGTCATCCTATGCTCAGCAGTACTTTGCTCTATCGTCCGGCACTATGGAATATGAGTGCCTCGACATGATCATTTCCCCTTCTGCTCTTGTTAAGGCTCATCACTGATTGCAAACAACCCATTCTCTTTCGGTCCGCTTGTCCCCTACCTGTCCGTCTCGTACGCTATCAATTCGAGACCCCCGCTCGGAGAAAGATGAGGCAGAGAAGTGTCTACGATCTGAATGTCCGGTCGTGGGCAACCGAGAAGCAAAGGGCTAGAATAAGAGTTCCGAATCCTCTAAATGCGCCATCTTTTATCCAAATCTACCACTCTATTAGATCCTGTTGACTGCAGTAAATATTCCACAAGTCGACCATTCAGTATACCACCAAGCTGGTGTTAGATAGGTCCAGGCGGTCGAGCTTGGCCTTATCCTAGATGCCCCGAATTGGACGTCGATAGCGACCTGGCGTATCGCAAAGTCGAAAGTCCGAGCTTCAGCGCCGCCAGTAGGTGATTGCCTTGCTGGACACGGCTTTGGGGTAAGGATTCCTTCACCAATAACCCATATTCAACCTTCAGTGTCAGGTTTACGTGGTACTGCTATCGCAATTCAGTATTCCTTTGGTATATGAACCTGAAATCTTGAACGGCCGAAAGCAAATGGGCGCCTTTTCTTCTTAGTTTCTTCACGTTTTTTTGGTGCAATCATAAATCGTAATTTAAGTTATCAGTGTTTCCAGCGTTGGTGACGATTGTAGATAGCGTAGGGAGCGGACGACATAAAATGCGGGGTCGGTCCGGCGCCGGTCACGGGTCTCACGGCTTGAATCGGCTGACCCCTGCTTCCCCTCACATCGCTGGCAGTATATCATGACGAAAGAAAGATAAGGATGGTGTTGATATATTACCCTTCTTGCTCCCACGGCGCCTTTACATCACAATACACCTCCTTAATTTTTCTATCTTTGGTTTGGGAGAGCACGGCCATAGACCCCATTTCACTTTGAACCTGATTCTTCCCAATCAAACATGTCTGATATCAAGAAGTATCAGCTTGGAGATTTCCATCTTCAAGGCGGTGGCTCATTGCCCGGAGCATGGATTGCATACAAGACATTCGGTGAACCATCCCTTCCAGCGGTTGTCTACCCTACCTGGTACTCCGGCGCGATCGCGGATAACGAATGGTTAGTGGGAGATGACAAAACCTTGAACCCGTCAGACTATTTTATCATCATTCCGGCCCTGTTCGGCAACGGACAGTCTATCAGCCCTTCCAACTCAGACATCAACCCATTTCCCGACGTATCTTTCTTCGATAACGTGAAGGCTCAATACGAATTGGTTACCAAGGAACTCAAGATCACCCATCTCAGAGCCGTCCTAGGATGGTCTATGGGCGCGGCTCAATCTTTCCAATGGGCGACGCAATATCCCGACTTCTTGGATATTGCAGTCCCATTTTGTGGCGCCGCGAAGTGCGCCCTGCATAATCAGGTTTTCTTGGAAGGCGTCAAGTCGGCGCTTCTCGCGGCAAAGAAGACTAGCTCAGCCGGTAGTACTCTAGGACGCATTGCATCAGCCGAGGACAAGTCTGTTCGGGTCTGGTCAGACGAGGAGAAGCGAGTTGGTCTGAAAGCTTTCGGTCGTGGGTACGCCGGATGGGGCTTCTCTCAAGCATTTTACCGACATGAGCTGCACAAGAAGTTTTACGGAGCCAAGGATCTCGAAGACTTCATGCAAACGTTTTGGGAGAAGTGGGCTCTTAGCAAGGACCCGGAGAACTTGCTTGTCATGATTCATACATGGCAGAGTGCCGATGTGAGCAACCAAAAGCCATACAATGGCGATTTTAAGAAGGCCATGGCGAGCATCAAGGCCAAAACTTTGGTGCTGCCCTCCAAGACTGACCTCTACTTCCCGTAAGAATCTCACCCTGAATACCGCCAAAACTATTGCTAACAGCTATAGGCCCGAGGACTCCGAGTATGAGGTCGAGTGTATGAGTGAAGGTGTCGGTGAATTGGCTGTGTACCCCTCCATCTGGGGCCATTGGGCTGGAGGGCCCCCAGGGAACTTTGAAGATGTCAAGTGGCTAGACGACAAGTTGAAGAATATTTTTGCTACAGCGCCAAAGCGGGGATAGAGAGGTCTAGGATTTGAGTAAGAAATATGCAATGCACGGCGTCATCACCAAATTATGTATCTCGCTGATAGCAATAGTTTCTTTGTACGCTTTGGCAAGAAAGAAGACATCAGCATGTTCCTAAATCTCGTGGCTTCGAGCTAATCCAAAAATTTACTGACAAGACGAAAGAGACAGACATATATTATTCTTAACAGTAGGAAGACTTTCAAATAGTCGCTTTCCAAGATCTCTAGACAGCAGGACTTCCTGTTCTCGTTCCTTCACTTTCGTAAGGCTGGCTGAACAGTTATGCCCTCAAATTTCTGCCGAATCTCTGTAGTTACACCGGACATATCGCAGAGATCTTTATCATGCAACAAGGCCGAGCGGGGCACCCAGCTTCCATGTATACCATTGCGAAGCCGAAAAGGTAGTTCAATGATTGCTACAGGCCCAGAACCAAGATTTTTGGCGTCGAGAATCAGGATGCAGGAGAGTCTAACATCTCGTCTGTTCGCGATGGTCACAAGAAAGCCGTCTCCTTCCGCAGCTATGAAGTCGTTAGCGAGTCCTTCACCCGTGCGATATCTGTTGCTCTATGAAAGACTTACCCTCCGGGGACCTTGGTAAGAACGCTACCTCATGCAGAGAAGTATGTTCTCCGGCAGACCAATGAGTATACTTCCCGGTGTTGATATCTGCAGCTGCAATGGTGTTGTAGGTCCCACCGACAGGGCTGTACTTGGCCTTTGGATCGTGAACGCATAGGAACAGTTTGCTGTACGCTTTGGTTGCGAATCTTTCGTCAACCTTGGGCATTTCACCATCAAGAGCGACTAGCTCGGTCGGTTCAACCTGGAAGCTTGTTGCATTGGGATCGAGCTTCCAGCGCACATAGCTACTGGCAGGTTGTCCTACCGCCGCCTTGCCGCTGGGATGAGAAAACGGGTCCTCGCCTCGTGGGCCAAAGAACCAAAACTAGTGCACGAGTTAATAACGCTTTCGGGAGGCAGTCATATAGAATGCGCACCTTGTTGTGATGGGTCAGGGGTGCGTCGAGGTAAACACATCCGTCTTCGCCTTCGAATGCGTTTCCGGTGTGCCCGTAGAAGGCGTTCTTGAAGTTGAACCACCGAACGTCTACAGGTTTAGGGTTTCGCCGCGGCAGAAGACCAAACGTTAGTGGCTTATCCTCGGCCCATGCGAAATGCTTCGATCCTTGCTGTAGTATTTCAACTGGCTGTGTCTCAAGCGGAATGAGTACGAAGACGATCCAATTTTTGGTCGCTGCCATATCGTGCATCATTCCCACATAAGGCGTCTTGATCCAACATTCTTCAAGCTTCTTCCCGTTCTTATCGAAGAGATAGTATGCGACATCATTTGTCGCATCACCTTTGGCTTCATAGCCCATGGTGATCAGCTCTCCGTTATCAGGGTCAATTTTTGGATGCGCGGTGAAAGTTGGAGCTGAGTACTGCCCATGGAAGTCGTACAGTCCTTCATATTTGAATCAGTTGCATGTAGAAAAAAGGTATACAGTGACCAGTTGGGTGATTAAAACCTACCTCTGGTCTCAAGCGAGTCCGGATCCATTGCATACGGCCGGGAGTCTTCTTTCAACGCTAGGAGCTGATTTTCGAAATACACGATATGAGTATTCGCAGTTGAGTGAACCTCATGCTTTACTCTCGGGTCGTCCGAGTAGCGGTTTCGATATTTACCAAAGACTGACTGTCTTGCTGCCCTCTCAATGTTGAACTTGGCAGTGCGCACATACTTTTGCTTGAAGTCGGCGTGACCGTTCCTGATCCGAACTGCATCTATAGCGCCATCCCCGTTGATGAAAACATCGTCTTCATAAAGAGGGGCCCAGGACCAGTCGGGCATGCAACGGTAGTATGTTCCGTCGATCTCTTGGGGGATCGAACCGCGGACTATGCAATTATAGACTTCCGCTTCGAAGCGGCAAGGTGCTTCTGGTCCATCAAAGAATGGTGTTGGAGGGAAGTTCGTCTCCTGCTGTGCCTTGAGACACTTCGAGCACTCAGAAAGGTCAGGCATTTTGCTATCTTGATCTGTTTCGACGTTGGGGTTGCCCAAGAAACTCGTTTGTCTTTTGATGGATAGTTATACTACCAGACGAGTTCTTCGGCTAGCCCGGCATCATTTCAATAAATGCCTTCGGGTTTACTACTCTATTTCTGGTAAACGAAACCGACTACGGGTAGTTGGAATCGAAACAACATGATCGTCATCAAAATGTGCAGTAATCCATTCCACCTCCTTTCCTCCTTGATGCTCTAAACTCTGTATCATCTGCCGAACAGTGACGCTGTCACACTTACCAACGGCGACCGCTGTGCGGAGATAGCGGGGGCGGAGACCGAGACGGGATTGAACTGCCGGTCGACTAGGGATGCCAGGTCAAGTACAAAGGTTCAGTGATTGGTGGCCTAGAACGGAGACCGACCTCAAAGTTTCAGCTTTGGCCGTGCGTTCGTTCGATATGATGACCAGGTAGGTAGGGGGACCTTATATATCGAGTGTATTGACCTAGTTACAAGGTGGTTATGGACGACAGTAGAACTTCAACAACTACAGTACACTTCAGTCACGAGTTGGCAGGATTACTATTCCTTGATTTATTTGCAGACACACAGCCAAGTCCCAGCCAATCATAAGATCCAACCAGTAGTGGTTATGACTTGCAGCAAGGACTACGTTTTCAAGCAGATTAGCGAAACGCAGATTAAGGCAACGGTTCACTGGAAGCCCACAAATAGCGAGGAGCCAAAGGGGCTCGGTAAGTCCTGAGTCGATCGCGTCAACTACCTTTTGACTGAATGTTCCCAGCTCTGGCCTTTCATGGAGGAGGTTTTGTGATAGGATCCAGGCATTCGTTGCCAGATGTTGAAGTTGGCTATCTTGCCGATGCAAACTTTGTTGTCGTATCAGCCGACTATCGACTTTGCCCACAAGTTTTCTTGCAGGAAGTGATCGAAGATGCTATCGACGTTTTCTCTTGGTGCAGGACAATGCTTCCGGCAAAGTTCGAAGCGGACACTAGTATTAGGATTGACGCACGAAAGGCTGTGGTTTTCGGCCAGTCGGCCGGGGCTCTCTTAGCTTTGCACTTGGTGAGTTTCCGATGGTATCGACCTCAGACCATTGCCTCAAACTCAACACTTCGTGAACAGGGTGCTCTGGCGGAACCTCCCCGGGCAATTCTTGACTTTTATGGCGTCAAGTACGTCAGTGATGCATTCTGGCACACGCCTTTGCCTGCCTTAGCCGCAATTCCGACACTGCCACAGGCTTTAACCGATAAAATCTTTGAAGAACCGGTCATGACGACTACTGCCACGTCCCTTGAAAAGGCAGCTGCGTCTCAAGACGGGGAGAGGAAAAGGGGCATGCCAGCACCCGATCTATCACTTCCCAGAAACGCCTGGCTATTCACAGCATTGAAAAACGGCACGCAGATGAAGACCATCGTCAAAGGTGACGATTACGATGGCGTCGACCCTATCAAGAGGTTTCACCCGAAATTTCCGCCAACTTTCTTTGTGCATGGGGACACAGATGGCCTGATTCCCAGTGCCTTCAGCGAAAAGGCTTGTAGGGAGCTGAGCGAGCTGGGAGTGAAGGCGCGTATTTCTTTAATTCCAGGCCAATCTCATGGCTTTGATGCTGGCTTAGATGTGAATGACCCGGAATGGCCGCAGGTCCGCGATGCGTTGGACTTTCTCATCTTCTATGGAAATAAAGCCATCTGAGGTGCACGCATCCCGCTAGAGATTGAAATCGAAGTTAGACTCAGAGAATCCCAACTGTTCCCACAAGTCCAGATTGGGTAATCCTGTTTCGAAAGGAATGATAATGTTGTCAAACGTCGTCGTTTCCGGCCTTGAAGAGATTAGAAACTTAGAAAGTCTGCTGATCAGGAAGACAAGCTATGGAACTCACTGGTGGTGCTCAATGTCTTCGAGCACTTTGTCAAAGCACTGGACGGCAAAAGCGTGCAATCTGTCCGGAAATATTCGAAGTAGGTTCCTCATCTTTACCACCTTGTCTCGCAAATCGACAGATGCTGGATTCTTGATGATTCGGATCAGAAGGACCAGCCCGCAGGTTACTGCATGGTACGAATCAAACCAGAAGTGGTTGGTAAGTACATCCTTTTCGTGCATCTCGACAAGTATCGCAATAGTCTTGTTGTTGCTCTCCTCGCAGATGTTCATTCGATGGTTGGCTTCGGACCCGGAAAAGGTAGCATTAAACAGGTACGATTGAGTCAATAGGACGATGATGCGATGGTATCTCAACCGCAAGTACAGCGTGGCGCGCAACAATGATGGCGGGATTGCTGCTGCAGGTATGGTCAGGTGCTGAGGCAGGGTCTCCCACCACCCGTAAAGGTCTTGAATTAATTCATCGATATCATTGCCATTGTCGCGACGCCTCTCGGAGTTGCACTGGAGAGTACGAGACAGAAGCCGTGTAAGGCGTGCTGATGCGAAGGCATACATGGGCGGCATGTTTGGGGCTCCGATGAGATTCTATATTGCGATGTTAGTTGAAGATCACATTTCATTGACTTGTGTTGGATTACATCTGAAGGCGAATCGATATTGCTAAGATCAACGGTGATTCCTAACGATCTCCCCAGAACGCTGGTGAACCACTGGTCCAAGTCGCATAACGACCACCAAAGCTTGGTTTTCTGTTCCGCCCACAAGGGACTTTCGTCGTCAGTTGTTACATGCAATCCTAGTGACTGGGCAATTCTGATAGCGCTGCCGAGAACGACCCAAGAAGTGTTCCGCTGGTTTTTCTTTAGCCTGTACAAAGCCTGAGCCCAGCGAGCTGCATTAGCCGAGGTCTTGATTAGTGAACTAGGAGAGAGCAGCGTTGTTACTGACCATGACAATAATAGCCTGGATGCTCTCAATACTCCCTTCCTCGATGACACTCTCCATTTTCTTTGACGCAAGTTCAAAATGATGTGGATCGTCGTCAACAAGAGCAACAATGAGCTGAATCATGGCCTGAGTTGACACACTTGTGTTTGCGTTTCCGTGGGCTCTAAGTATTGCATCAAAAAGCTTTTCTGGGCCGAGGACGTAAAACACGCAGTTGATGAAGCGGAGAAAGACGACGCTGCATCTTTCGCATGTCTTCCTGTCGGGAAGTGCTGCATCGGGTTTACTTGACAGCGGTTCGCCTTCACGTAAGTCAAAGGTGCCACTGGGCTGCAGCGCCGCCAGTCGAGGAAAGCTTTGTGTGATGCACAGGCTAACTTTGGACTGAAGGACAGCGTAGCTTGAGACGCCGTTGAATCCTGGTGAACAATGGGTCAATCAGCGATTCCTATTAGATCCGACTACCCGCTTACTCACTTCGCTGGCGTGTTGCATCTGAAATGAACGAGCCCTCTGACAACGGCGATGCTGAGTCCTTGGCAGTGACACTCGGTAGTAAGTGCCCGCCATCAACCGTCGAGCATGACGAAGTATTCGCCGATGGGACTTGCTGTGCAAGCTCTGTAGGAAAGTCAGGTTCTTCCGGTGCCACCTGAAGCGTGCTGACAAAAGTGCGCAGGCCTTCAACGCTTAATGGGATACCAGGGGCATAGTGCCGGACAATGGCGGCCATCAGTTCGAATTGCTCCTTCGAAGTGTGATAGTAGGGCCGGATGCTGGCCTCATCAGTGACAATGCAATCTAGTCCGAGTCGCTCACACCGGTGACAGGATCGGGATGTCGGTTTGTCGCACTCTCGTAGTCAGCACGGGACTCAATCACTGACGTGGCTCCGATTCTCACTTTGATCTTTCGCCGTCTGCAATTTATGCAGCTGGAGGGCAGCCGACCGGCTCGGCGTGTTGTCGTACTCATGCTGGCAATGACGGAACCACGTCAAAAAGAGGCACGTTTGCGATTGAGATGATTTCAATTGCCCAGCGAGCAAGCCATCATCCCCAGGCCACAGTATCACATCGAACGCGAAGGGCAGGTCAGCAGCCTTGGAGTCATGAACATTGTCGTACTCAGAGGCAACACTTGAATACCGTGGGGACCTGTGCTAGTCTGTGGTCCCGGCGTTGTAACTGTAATAGCAAGGACCATTTGGAGTGCTGTTAGGCACGAAACATTGGAATGTGTCGGCTAGATCAAATTTGCTTCAACTTAGTGATTATGAAGCTCATTACGAAGGCATAAGCTTCCCGTTCTCTATACCTCACGATGTATAGCGTCATGATCTCAAAACATCACAGGTGATTGGGGAGCTGCATGGCGGCGGTAGACGGATAATAGGGTGCAAACAGCATGGGACAGGTAAACCCCACAGCGGTCACCGCTCCCCGTCCCATGTCACACATTATTAGAGTTCGGCAGTCGAGAGCGGTCTCCGCGCTGGACACCCACCGGGCCACCGGTGACCGCTGATGCTCCATCTTTGTACTCAGACGCTATCGGCCATCCGGGAAGACTCAGTCTTGCCTACGAGAATAAGAGAGACTGCTGACGAGAAATGATAAATCACCGTATCACGGGAAGGCAATATGTTGTCTCTCAGTTGCCACGCTTCGAATCGGCGCAAAGGATTCAACACCAGCGAACACGACTCCGAATGAGCCATGGAGACTCAGGGTGCAACGGCTAATTGGCACTTTTTAAGCCCCCGAGTCGTTGCCATTACCTCTGCAATCCTATGTTTGGTATGTCAGACTCGCATCGAGATACCTGCAGATCATCGCACTGACTCTCGCAGCTGGCCATTCCTCTCATTTACAATGTGCTCTTTCACCCTCTTGCCCGAGTCCCGGGGCCTTTCTTGGCCAAATTCAACGACTTCTGGCACGCAAACCAGCTATACACAGATATGAGACATGAAACGCTCTGTAAACTTCATGATAAATACGGTAACTACTACAATCTATCGCTCTTAGTCATTTTGGCTAACGTGGATGGCTAGGTCCTTTGGTACGCCTGGGTCCGAGCACTATCTCCGTAAACACCACGGAAGGACTTCAGAAGATTTACTCGGCGACATCACCAATCGACAAGTCGCCATTCTATCAGAGCTTCACCCCAGGTTTTCAAAGTAGTTTCTCTGCGTTAGGTGCTGCATACAAAGAGAAGAAGTCCATCCTCTCTCAAGCATTTTCCCAGAAGAAGCTGGACGCTATGGAACCTTCATTCATGGGGCATATCTGGAAGCTTTGTGAGGTGATGAAAAATCAAAGCAAGGTAAACTTGGATGATTGTTTATCAGCTTTGACAGTTGGCATCTTATCGGACGTTTGTTTTGGCGAAACGTTTGACTTGCTTCGTAACCCCACGGAGAAGGCCAAGGTCAGCGATGGCTTAGTACAAGCGGCAAAATTTGTTTCACTGGTACAAATATACCCCTTTCAAGTATTTTCAAAGCGGTAATCAATTTCACTAACATGGTTTCAGGAAGGTACGCTTTGGAGATGGCCTTTGTTGCAGCAAATGATTCGAAAGTTTTCGTACGGCTGTACGACCCGGGGCTATCCAGCGAAGGTGAGTAATTTTGTTTTTTCCTTTTTATGTAACAACTTGAACTGAAACGGACAGATGGCGATTGGCGCCATGATTAAACAGAGACAGAACCCTTCCGGCAGGCAAGACATATTCAACTACCTCCTTACTGCTACGAGTCCCACCACCGGCACGCCGTTTCCTGATCGCGAGCTGTTCGGTGAAGCAATCGTCATGTTTGTTGCAGGGTCTGATACGACGTCTACTGCTCTTTTGACAATATTGTGGCACCTATTGGCCCGTAAAGAAGCATACGACAAGCTGGCCTCGGAGGTCAGGTCTAGAGTCACGAGACGTGATGAGTTGAACTACCACAACATTCAGCACCTACCATATCTGAGAGCTGTGATAGAGGAAGGGTTGAGAATATTTCCACCGAATTCAGGTTTCATTCCAAGACAGGTTCTCCAATCGGAAAGAGCCTTTGTTCTTCATGGCATAACTCTGCCAGTGGGAGTAAGTTGAAATCGTCTACCTCGATCTCAAGAGCGCAGACACTCACATCGTCCCTTCTCAGACGGAAATAGGCGTTGCAAACATGGCGATGCATAGAAACTCCAAGTATTTTGAACGACCCAACGACTTCATCCCAGAACGCTGGATTGGCGATGGCCAGTCCGCGGTAAAGGACAAATTGGCTTTCTCTCCCTTCTCCAAGGGCCCGAGAGCATGTCTCGGAAGAACGTAAGGGATCCCGCTTTAGCTTCTAACAGACCGTGACTAAGCTTTCATCTAGAATGGCCTATATGGAGATGTCTCTAGCTTTGGCAGCAATGTTCTTGGAGATGGACATGGAGTTTGCGGATCCAGATTTTGAGGCAAGGCACGGTTACACAGCGACGGATTCTTTTGTTCTCGTGAGACCGAAAGTTAAAGTTCTCGTAAAATCTCGCCGTTGAGAGGACGCAGTCGATTTGAGAGGTATTCGGGTCTCTGCTCTGGTGGCAAGCAGTCCCTCTGTTGCAATCTCGGCAAAACAGCAGGGGCTGATGAAGCCGCTACTGGAAGAAGGCACAGGCCATAAATCATGTTCACAAACCCGTGCAGTAGAAACCCATTGGGTCCAAGATCGTGGTTGAAAAGACGGGAGTAATTTAGGCTAAAGGGGTTGATCTCATTCACCCCTGCTAATCTGATCACGGCATTCGGCTAGGTCCAGAATGCTCCCCAAAAGCGATGATCGACATTCCTGATGACCTAAGATTCCATGCACAATAGTCGTAAGCAGTCACCAGGGACAGCAATGAAGAGAACAATCTGGTGATGTAGAATAGAATGGCCTTGTGATAGTAATTATAGGAATATCTTGCCAAAAGCCCACGCCAATATCCGACATCAGTCGCCCATGTTGAATAGTAAAGAAAATGGTATCTAGTAAGTAAAGAGTGATATCTCCAACGCCAACGTAATCTCTGGGCTTAACAGGCCGTCTCTGAATGATTCAAAGTTTCTCCGTATCAATACAGCACTATCTCTGGAGGAACTAGCTTATGAGAACCCCCTTGCCTCAACTTTCTGTGAAGAGACCTGCACAATATCGCACTTGACCTCGATTGGCGCTCCTGGCTGCAGCTCAATCTCGTCCTCAGAGACTCTCCTTCCCGCTTCGATTCTTGTTTCGACTACGGCGTGGTGATTTGGTCTATACCCGCCCAACTCGATGGACTCCTGTTGCCGTAATGGAGACGGCATCTTATCGGTCTGACTGGTGAAATCTGGGCTGTCCCTCGAGGCTTGGATAGGTAATCCTGCCTCGCGGCTCGCATCAGAATGGCTTAAATCGTAACTGGCGATGCCATACAGATCAGCCTTGCTATCCGCTGAGCCAGTTCGACGTTTCGAGTAGCGGGCAGAGTAGTGGTTTGGGTTGCCAAGTGTACCACCAAGCTCGGGATCACGGTGGCGTGAGGTACTTTCGGTGTTTTCAGAGTAGTCTCCGTTCTTGTGGTATTTCGAGGACTTGGCAATACGGCTCGAGAGAGCGGGAATAAACCGAGAGACCAGGGGTCGGAACGTCGGGAGGCAAGCGCAGACGAGGCCACAACAGAGTTCGCCGATGGACCAGCCGGCGGTTTCGACGTTTTGCCAAGTGAAGTCTTCTTCAAGCTTGAGGAATCGGATTCGAATGAAAGATATGGTACATGTGCTGTCAAAAGATTAGTCAGAGCCCGACACGGTCGTGCAATCATGGGATGGAGACATACAAAAAGCCCAGGCAGAAGATACCAAGCAATACATATTTCTGGCCACGGGCTAGATTCAGTCGATGAATGACTGGCAGCGGCAGCACAAACACAATAATGTCGGTGATGATATTTCCTGCCGCGTTGATGTACCACTGGGGGTAGTTCGGGATGCATTTGCCATCAATGCTCTTGTCCCAGAATGCCGGGATAGGGGTACAGATGAAGATCTCGACAAGGATCTGCGAGATGCTCCATGCGCCGACTATGACCATCGCCGCAATAAAGACCTTCTTCATCTTTTGGACTGCCAGGACTCGGTAGTATTGAAAGAGGAAAGTCATCTTGATACCGGCCAATGCTGCATTGTAGAATACGATGGTGACGTAAAATGTCTTCGAAATGTCAATAGATGTACGGAGTAAATAGTGTCACGTCTTAACTGACCCTCATGTAATTTTGGATTTGTTCCGAAGTAAGAAAGTAAACATGATGGCCGAGGCCATTCCTGGTGTCTTCGAGATGTTAGATACCGACAGGTGTAGTCGTAGATATGTGTGACTTACTGAGTGCGACGGCCAAGCCACATCCAAGAACCAATAGCTACAGAATACATGGTCAGATCCAGGTTAAAGGGATGAAGAAGACTTTCCAAAACTTACAAAAGCAAAGACCGATGCCCAATCGTCCATACCAAATTGCCGTATCACGAATATTCTGGTGTACACTCGTATTGATACAGCCAAGAAGGCAACTGAGAGCACAAAGCTCGTGACGCCGACCACGATCGGTACCCGTGAATCGTCCGGGCTCATTCCTGGAGGGACCTCCATGCTGCCTGTGAACTCCCCTTGGACAATGTTGACAGCTATGCTTGGTTGGTAGTGGGATTAAGAAGCATTGGTAGTCCACGAGGACTGGCACGTGGCAATGCGCTTTTCGTTCCTTTCCACGGCGGCTGATGATGGGGATAGGTGTGGGACGTCGGACGAGGAAAAGCATGGGAATCTAAACGCCGAGGGATGCTGTCTTTGTATATTGACGAAAGCTTGGCTATGCCAGCCTTGACTGGTCTTAGATCGAGGGGGCACCTTTGCGCGGGTGTGGCTCGAGAAAGGGGCAGAACGTACTCCGTAGAGAGGGTGTGAGACATCGACGGGGAGGAGCTGCCCGCAAAGACTGCTACACTAGCACGCCTCGCACGCTCGAGGGACCCTCAGGATTCTGATATTCCGTGTCTCATATGGCTTAGACGTGGAGAACAATGTGGGATCGACGAATCTATTTCCAAGGATATTGTCGATTGCCTTTGGGCAGAAAGGACGCAAGGCAGTAGCCGTGCGCGCGGTAGACTGCTCGGAAGACAGGAAGACAGCTGGGCAGAACTAGCACAACGGTTGTGGCCTCTCTCTGATGACACCCTTTGTGCAGTTTTGTACATCTGCATGACGACCTAACGAATTGGCAAATGGGGAGTGCCACCTTGTTTACTAGCGGAAAAGCCGTAGCGTGTAAGCTATGCCGGGACGGCTCCGCGTGTCGTTATGAAGGTTAAGACGAACTAATGGGCCTTCGATTCGTCATGTTAGACTGCACCCGGAAGGTGGGAAAAAGGAGAGGAGGGTGGCAGGCAGTGGACAGTCTGCGGTGTTGGAGGTCTGCCAGCCTAGGGACGCAACGTTATTCTCGACGCGCAGATGACGGCAATCTCCCGGCTTTGCTGGTACGCTGGCACGCTGACGGCGCATGGATTTGGCGGCACTGCATTCCTCTTGTCGCGGGCCAGGGCGGCAGGCATTCTAGGATTTCTGCCATTTTGGAGATGCCGCGATTCAGCTGCCATTGATAGAGAGACTTGCAATGTCTCAGACCACCTCCTGGCATGTGCAAATATGGAGCTGGGAACTTGGGAGTCGGCCCCGAGTTGGAGTCAATGTCTGTGTGTCAAAGAGATAGCCCAATGATGATCGGCTGGACAGGGTGGTAGGCTTGAACCCCGGGTATCCAAAGTCGTATACCGTCCCTGCTAGCCCGGGAGAGGGACCGGGGTAACTCCTGTCCGCTTCTCGGTGAAAGAGGAGACGTGTAGGTATCGCGGGGATTTATGTCGCCAGGGTCGCGGCTGACTCGCATTTGAAGGTAGCGGTGGTTTGTTGGCGCAATTGCCAGGCATCGGCGATCACTGCTGACGGGCAGGAAAAAGAAATTGGGCATCAAATAGACTGCGAAGCCTTCTGCCGGGCCGAAGACAGATATCGAATAAAACCATGGACGAATGACCTTGACTAAACCATCTGTTCATCTGATCGGCAAACTGACTTTGGCTTCCAGAATCGGGTGAAACAGAGACAGTTCAGAACTCCCTTTTCGCAGGACCAGCCAGATCAAAGATGGCTACCCTCTTGCGTAACAATGTGCCAACAGCGGCTCGCCTACGGAAATCACCTGGAAAGACAATAATTATGACCGAATCTCTTTCCAGCTTGCTCGCTCTCGTACAAAAGAGGTCGCATTTTAGGACCTCTGGCGTCTCAGCCGCGATCTCACCGGTGCCGACTATTCACCACTCCGAAGGGCTATGGGGGGGGGGCAGATTCGTTATTGCAACTCAACCGAGCAAATTCGGCGACGGCGGCCGAGCCGGTGAAGAGGGACCCACGCCAGTTCCTTGTTCTTCGCTCTCGTCGTCGAATCCAGCCTTTCCAGCTTGGCGTTGAAGGACCCTGGCACGCCTGGCAAGCCTGGCAGCCTCTTTGAAGCGTGGATCTGGTAAATCATGCCACTCAATGAATCGCATTGGTCAGAACCTGGCAGACGAGGGTCTGAGCGTAACCACGCCGTCGGAGGGACGAGCCGGGGGGGAAACGGGCAACGAATACTCTTCAACGCCTCTCGACTTGATTTGGACGACCGTCAATACAAAGGCCCGTTTGGCTCCAACGTTTGGCCCGACGATGGCGTGTCTTGTTACGCATTGTTTGTTCTCTTCGTACCATATTCAAGCCACAGCTGCGGCAACGAGAAATAAACTTCAGCCCATTGCCATTGGGTGAGCCAGTGGCGTTCCCCACGGAGTGAAGGATCAGCGGCTTTATTGACGGACAAGGTGGGATATGGAAAACCTGCTGAGAAGTTTGACAGGTACATCTTTCTGCAGAGCACGGTCCCGGTGTCAACCATGCCACCCGAAGTGCAATACAGATAGACGATGAGCATGCTCAAAGGAGAAGCCTGCCGGGAGCATCAGCACGACTATCCGGGCGAATTGCAGATAGGAGAGATTTCGAGAGGCACCCGGAGACCGGAACTAGCCCCGCTCATCACAGGGACTATGGAAAAGGGCATCACGTCAATCCGTCGCACGGCTGAAAAGTTCATCGTAAAGCCCATTGCAGCATTCGTCCCACGACGAGCTCCTCAAAGACACACAGCCCCCATCCGCTCCCCCGCCGCCAGTCATGACATAAAGTAACTTGACAGTGGGGAGGTCCGAGAACTCATCATCACTACGATCCTACACACCTAGTTCACAGGAACGAGTAAGATATTCTATCGAAGCAAACAACACCACGTCGACTTCGATCTTGCAACTTTGCAAGTGGGCTTTGTCGGTGCGCAATGTCCACCAGAAAAGGTTCGTCTCGCGAGATCTACTGGCTCATGAGGATTGGAAGGGGTCAAAGCCAAGCTCCATCCGGACTTTGTTTGCCAGACTTTAGCGCCAAGGGTCCTGCTTAGAACGTGTTTTTTGGAGACACGCGGGGCAGTACAGGGCAGTGAAGATCGCTGCATGAGGATGCCTGCATTCTGATGACTCCATCACTGCTGAAGAATAATGACAAACCGTCAAACGCGGTCCGGATCCGACCCGGCTTTTGCGGCTCGTAGGACGTTTCTCAATGATGTGAGACGTTCGAATAGGTTGCAACAATCGTCCGACACAAGCCCGGAAGCAAATTGGGTCGAGCTCCGCAAGTTCAGGCGATGTTTTGGGTGAATGAATCGCATCCTAAAATTGTGGGTGTGTTTGTTCCCTGTGAGTCGTGACACCTCTGTCAGTGGGGGGGGGGGGGGCATCTCTAAGAACCCATGGTCCATGTGCGATGCAAGAACTGTAGCAGCTGTCGAAGGTGTCTCTGCATCATCACCTGCATATCCAACTTGGCCAACTTGGCAGGGGAAGAACTGAACGCTCATCTGTTCAGGTAATCCACGTGCTGCTGCTGTGGTGCGTAGAGTACGCATGGAGAAGTTCCACCGAGTAAGGTAGAGTAAGCTTACACGAGAGGGATCCAGGAACAGAATGCTTATCCTGTGGATTCATGCAGTTACGAAACGTGCTTCCTTCGAGCGGGATGCGTTTGTGCCTTGATTTCGTTCCTCCTCGACACCTCCACTTTGCCCCTTCAACATGATTCCAAGCGAATGGTAGCTATCGCGGTGCAACGCCTACGGTAGATGAGGGGATAAAGCAGCATCGTGCTGGGTCTATCAGTCATCATTCAAGTCAGGTTGTGCACACCCTCGTATTGAAATGAGCGGAGAAATTGAAGATTCCGAATCTCCGATGAGTTGCACATTTGCGCCAAATAATTCAAGACTCCAAGTGAATATGCCTGATCTCCAATGCTCCCGTGGTGCTGCCTGCCATCGTTCAAATCTCTGATGCTGGGATACCCCAAAGAGCCTCGAAATGAGCCCAAGACGGCAGTGCGTAAGGCTTCGGTAGAGCATCGACCACCAGGAGTCATCCTCGGCACTCGTCTCTTTGGGTGTCAATGGTTTATTTATCAATTCATCAATGTTCCCTTTCATCGTGTTGATCGTCACCGCGTAAATCCCGATGACATATGAGCCGGTTGTAACGATCGTTGGCAAGCTTCACTGAGGCCCGCGCATAGAGTTCATCTCTTCGATCCGGAGTCCCGCGGGTGTATCTTCTTGGCCGATGTGACGCTCAACGGCGTGAAGAGGAGGCTCACGGATTGTACGGCCCAGTCTCTGTTGCTACCTGTCTGTGATAACGTTTGCAGGTAACATGCTCCGCGGACAGACTCCGGGCAGTACGGCAGCTGTGTTGTTGAATGTTCTCGCGCTTATGGGAATTTCAAGAAACACGAAGGTAACACAACAATCAATGACTCGTTGGTGGCCCAAGACTAGGTGAACGTTTCCAGAGAGGGGAAGCGCGGAAACACCCTCCTTTTTGAGGATACGGCTGACTCCCTGGGGACGGACAAGGAATATTCGCTTATTCTTCGCTGAATTCCACCGCGCGAGCCAGAATAGCCTGCTGAAACCCCTGGCATATCCGCCTGGTGTGTCACTCGTCATCCATGGCGGGTCGATCTAACGGGCGCTGCGCCGGTGACAGGCCCTTTGTAGTGGGGTAGAAGGATCGGGTTCCTGGAGCGTAAGGGGGACAGGACGCGGCGAAGCCATAAAGATCGATTCGGCTTGTCAAGACGACCAAGCTGGTGTTTTTGGATCCTCCTGTCTTTGTTAGCCAGAATCCGATGGCATCAGGAATCTAATCTGCTATCATCGTGGAGGATCAGCATGCCTGTTAATTTACGCCCATGATGAGCTGTCCCACGCAACTGGTAAACTTTAGTCTTCGTCAGGTGATCACCCTCTCCAAATCTTGGGGAGACTAGGGTGAACGATGCAATCAACCGGGGAAACCATCGCACATTCGAGGAAGAGTACGAATACCAACACGAAACCGATTATTTCTTGCAGTCTTGCATCTTCTCATTCATATACGGATAGCAAAACTCCGACTCCAATCACCCTATTGACGAGTGAGTGAAGGATGCTATGAGGGATTACGTATTCACATTACTGCAGACCCGCCCAGCTCCGTCACGACCCATTCTAGTGCAGCAAATCGCACCCGACTCTTGAATCTTACACCATGATTTGCACAACGCTTGCCGTGAAATCAACCATTCGCAATGCAGATCTTGTGGCTCTGGCTGGCTGGCCAAATGGTAAGGCGTCGGACTCCTAATCCGAAGATTCTGGGTTCGAGTCCCAGGTTGGTCGTTCATGATGTATTCCAAGCAGCATGACCTTTTTTGCTGCTCAAACTCACCTTATTGTAGACCACCATCTTGTTTTGTCTATGTGCTCCTTCCTTCCTTCATTCTGCGACTTGTTAGACGTAAGCTGTGGTCATCTGTGTGCTGAATTTATTGCTGAAAATAAATCTTCTTCGGATCCTTACATGACCAAGGCTCTTGGATGTTGTCCGACTCCCGTCGTAATCATCAAGTTTGTTTATTTCTGTTATAACACCAAAGCCCAGACATTACTGAGCAACAAAACTGCCGAGATAGTCGGCCTTTCCAACCGGAACACCCTTGGATCTCAGAATTGCGTATCCTGCATTCAAGTGGAAGAAGAAGTTTGGAACTCCATGGCTCAAAGCTGCCTCCTTCGCGGTTACCTTCAATGTCTTGCCACCAAAGATAGGCCTAGATGATGTTAGAAATCTCTTCCCTATATCACTATATCGTTCCATGGAACAAGCACTTACAAGTCAACCTGGGCGTCAGCCTTGGCATTTACAGTCGCCGCATCGACCTTGCTCAGGAGGTCCAACGCATCCTTGATGCGCTTGTGGAGATCCGGGATAGTCTTCTCCGTGTTCTCGTACGGCTCCAACTCAACACCAGTCAAACGGCTGATGTTGGTCTTGACAGTCTTTGTCGCATTCTGGACCTGAAAAGTGAGGGGAAGTTGGTCCTCAACAAGACGAGCCTCTGGGTAAGTGTTGACATCCACATTGTTGGCCTTGGCGTGCTCCTCAGCCTTTGTCAGGATGTGATCAAAGGTCTTGAGACCCTTGGTGAAAGTGGGAATGACTGCGTCGTAGACGGTGACTGATGCCATTACCGCGATGTTGCGATGTTTAGATGAGGGGAAATTGAGGAGAATGCCGGAAGTCTCGGGAGATAGAGCGGGAGCTTTTATAAGAGTTGATAGAGTTCAATTGTCTGTGTGGCTGGATTCGAAACATTCACCATGAGACGGACTTCGAGGCCGTCTTATACAACTCTTTAGGTCAACAAAGCGGTACAGCACAGATTGGTAAGTTGTGCAACAGGATTGCGTGCTTGGTAAGCTTTCTCATCAATGCACCTGCAAGTCAATCTCACAACAAGCGGTCACCGCCAGGAACGCATCTGTAATCACGCAGATCCCGCGCCTTTTGGTTGGATTCCTGATGTCGCGATGGTCTGGGGATGAGGGGCTTCCCCTTGGCTTTGCCTTTTACGGGCATTTGTTCTGCGGTTTTCACCATCCTAGTGGAACGTCACGTTATCGGTTCTCAGATGGCGTCATCAGCCTCTTCTTCCAACCCCACGAAATACGCTACGCGGGCTGCATGGAATAAAATAATATGAACAACAACATGACTCTGAATTGATTAACAATAGTTTGCCCCAATGACGTCGAATCATCTTGGGCAGGGGAAGTGTAGATGCCGGTACTCTTAGTCCGAAGTCGGCATGAATCCTCAACCACGAAACCCGTGATGGCGAGTATCGTCGAATAACAGGAACGGCAGTATTGCAAACACCAGTAGACTGGGATGATGCGACTGCATCTAACTGCGGTTTACTACGTTTTCATATCAAGAGCGTACCACTGGCTCATATGATAAATTGTTTGCTTGGTTGAGACATTCTCCCTGATCCAGTGGCGGCAATCAATATTGCTCTCTGTGTTCGACGTCCCCTTTGTCATAGTAGCCCTATTATCCCAGATCATTTGCACCGTCGAAGTCTGAAGGACGTCAAGTCACAGACCTCGGATACTTATTCCAACGCACCATCCATAAACTCAGGAGAATTTGGGGTTTTCATTGCGATATGGGTGTTACTTCAACAGTGTTAGCACCCTGTGACCATTCGACCCGTCTCTTACGTTAATCACGTAAACCACACTGAATGAAAGATCACGTTCTCAAGGCAAATCAACTCGCAGTATGGTTATCATTTGCCCACATTCCCTAGCTTCTAAATGCTTTTTTGTACCATTATCTGCCCCATGGCACATTACCCGGAGTTAGTGATGCGGCACAATGAAACTCCAAGGACTACACTCAAATTTGTAGGCTATCAATTTACAATATAGTAAGACTCAGCTCTTCTGAGCTAGCAGGGATGAATGACTTAACCTATAAACGATCTTTGAGTTGTGGTATTGCAGATCAGCCATGAAAGATGGGTATCTTGGAGAGATGAGACCCTAAGTACATCCCGACTCTTTCTTCCCGGCTCAAGCAGTCTTCTCTCATGGGGCAAGTCGATTGGACCCAGGAACCGAATGTCTTTGTAGGAACTATATCTAGCATGAGAAGACTTTAGCTAGGTAAGTTTCGAAGTGCTATCAGTCTTAAACGTGGACATCTGAATACCGATCTGAACATGTTTGAAATGTAACGTCTCGTGCATGGATACTCTTAGGTTCTACGAAAGTATCGACGCATGGGTGATCACTCCGTGTGCTAATGGAAGCCAGAAGAAATATTTTGAAGCGATTCTTCACCTCCCCATTCTGTTAATCGCTTACAATAACAGGTCGCGCCGCACACACGCATCGGATCAAGGATGTGAAGAGGCAAGTGCAGACTGTGGTGAGGAGATAACGCGTTTTTGACAGCCACAAACAAGTGCATATTGTGATCCAAGATCGAAGTATCCCGCGTGGAATAGCCGGGTGTGTCTATGACGACTGCTAAAAGAAGATATTGCTCCCGCGTACCCTATGACAGCCATGTTCAGTCTCGTGGGGGGTTGGCTAACATCTGCCGAACTTACCCCTCATCTGAAATTGTTCAGCCAAACACCAGCCTTGCCAAACCTACCAATCCATGGAGATGCGCGGGTTACACTATTCTTTTCGGCTTTAAACCCGGCATGGCGGTCATGTTGGATTGCCGTGAGCCGTGGGTAGCGTCTCGACAATTCTAGATGTTACTGCCGTGGGCATTTCTCCCTTCAACCACGACAGACCTAGCTTTCAGGAGTTGGTATAGGCAAGCTCAGGCAACGTACGACTTTCATCGAAAGCACAACACTATCAAATAATTCACAGAAAGAAATCTTACAGAGACTCGAATCCCCTCGTTCATTCATCATGATTCAAAACGATGGTGTACCGCAATGCACAACCAACGGCGACTCCCTAGGAGACCTGCAGTGAGTTCAACTCTGTATCCTCTCACTTACCTAGTGAAAGAAACATGCTTAACGAAACTCGTGACAGGGAAGAAGTAGACTACTCATGGGCGGCTCCTCTTCTTGAGCAGACCATTGACGCTGATCGTAAAGTGCGGGTCGTTTGCGTTGGCGCAGGGTTCAGTGGTATCGGGGCATCTATCCACATGCGAGAGCATATCCGAGACATTGACTTCCAGATTTACGAAGCCGCAGACGACGTCGGCGGAGTATGGCATCACAACCGATACGCCGGTGCCGCTTGCGACATTCCAGCTCACAGCTACCAGTACTCCTTCTGCCAGAATACCCAGTGGTCGGAATTTTATGCGCCTGGTCCCGAGATTCACAGATACTTGAAGAGAGTTGTCGATCACTACAAATTGCAAAGCCTCATTAAGCTGCGTCACAGAGTCGTCGGAGCCGAGTGGTCCCAGAATCGCGGAAAGTGGTCCGTCAGAGTATTAGATCTAGACAACAATGAGGAGAAAGTAGATGAGGCTGATTACTTTCTTTACGCTACTGGTCTTCTATCAAAACCAAAATGGCCAACAATTGCGGGTAAGTTTTTGTCGCATATCTGAGAGTCTTTAGATAACTCCAACGAGAGCCAAAAGGGCTGGGTTGACAGATAATGAATAGGCCGAGAAAGATATAAGGGCATTCTACATCATTCTGCAAATTGGGATGCTGCCAAGGAGGAAGCTCAAGAAGGATTTTCATGGAAAGATAAGAGAGTTGCTGTCATTGGCGTAGTGAGTCGCAGACACAGTCGTGATAAACAATTCTTCGGTTTTACTGACCAAATTGTGTCTGCCTAGGGGTCTAGTGCAATACAAATCATGCCACAAATGCAGAGGAAAGCGAAACATGTTACAAATTTTGTAAGGAGTCGAAGTAAGTACACCAGTATCCTTCCGTACGTGCATGTAAGGTATTTTTGACGACTTACTTATTAAACAATCACCATCAGCTTGGATCTCGTCTACATTTGCCTCAGCCTTTCTTGAACGTCTCAATGAAGGTGCAGGCGCCAGTAACCGTACGTCGGTCCCTTGCAAAATTCAGAATCTCGAGCCCTGTGATGCTGAAGCCACTCAGATGTGTTCTCTCCCGAAGAAAGGAAAAATTTCACAAATGAAGCCTTCTACTCTCAGTTCCGCCGAGAGTTAGAGCGAGGCCTCAACGCCGTACATAAGATCACCGAACAGGGCCAACCGTTGCAGCTGGAAGCTCGAAGAATCATAGAGGAAAAGATGCTGGAGAAGCTTGCATCCAAACCTGAGATTGCCGAGAAGCTTATACCCGACTTCCCAGTTGCCTGCAAACGCCTCACGCCAGGACCGGGTACGTTCACCAAAATCTCATTCGCACAACCCCTTCAATCATCTTGGTGTTACTGAGAACAAGACTTAACTGACATGACGGTTCCTTCCAGGTTACCTCGAGAGTCTGACAGCAGATAATGTTGAGTTCTGTTCTCAAGAGCTAGTATCCTTCACGGAGAAGGGTCTCGTAACAACAGATGGCCGCGAACTTGAATTCGACGCAATTATTTGCGCTACTGGCTTTGTGAGCTGCCTTTGCTGTTCAACGCACCGTCTCGGGATTAACAGACGTGAATAGGACGTTTCTGTAGTACCTAGCTTCCCGATCTATGGCTCAAACAGCATCAATCTGCAAGACATGTGGGCCAAAGACGTCAAGCAGTACTTGGCTGTTTGTGTTCCTCAGATGCCTAACTTGTACGCAACCAATGACAGTTCAATGCCTTTAGATGTTGCATCCACTTACCTATTCGACAGCTTCCCAATCCTAAGCGCTCAGTCTGGCGTTGGATCAGGTTCTTTGCTCATCCTGATGGAGCAGCAAATTGCCTACGTCACTAAGTGCATCCAAAAATGCATCCGAGAAGGATACAAAAGCATCGTAGTGAAGAATGATGCTGTCGAATCATTCCTTCAGTACGCAGACAATTACTTTGACAGAACTGTGTATTCAGGTGAGCCGTTTGTTACTGAGCTTACTTTCACAACTTGTGAACTGCTGGGATGGAGACTGACTCCATCCACGATGGTTCTCAAAATCCAGGCAATTGCAAATCGTGGTACAAGAACGGAGCTTCTGGCAAGGCCAAGATCAGAACATTGTGGCCTGGGTCTTGTCTACACGGATACACTGCTCTGCGTCACCCTCGATGGGAAGACTTTGACTACGAGAGGGCCGAAGACTACGATCATCGAATGGCATGGCTTGGCAACGGAGATGTCCGACCAGATCTTGACCGTGTATTCTATTTGGACGAAATTTGGGCGATGCACAAGGTTTGTCCACAACAGGTTTCGACACATCTACCACCCCGTTCCTTTACTGACTATGACGATGGTAGGATCATCCAATGTTCAATGACTGAAGCTTTGGGTAGGCATATTATGCGGGGACTTGCCCGCATACGCCCGCATCTAGGCATGTGTCAAACAAAGTAGAGTTTGCCGGTGGACTTAAGGTTGTTTCATGACAGGTTCCAGGACAAACATGAAGACAAAGAAACTTCCGGGGAAACATGAATTTGTGTTAATTAATCAGAGCAGGAAAGTTTCGCCTGCGACTCCGTCTACATGCGGGTGTTTATGGATTCCACGGGATTAATTATGCCGCTCAGGGTGACGAGTTGTTGTTTATCGAAAACCAAATTAGCAATGAACATCCCAGGTCGAACCTTTCGGGCCAAGACACAGTCGTGGCTCAACTGAACAAAGCCTCGAAATTCAGAAGAAAAGTGGTGATTATTCAGCGTATTACAACACCCACAACGAATCTACGGTAATCTATCAACAAAAGTCCTGGCGCTCATTTCTCTTCAAATCAAGCCTTGACACATTCAATGACCTGCATCTTCATGTCCAGGCCATGAATCTTCTCAATTTTAAGCCCAGACCTAGCAACAAGCACCTCCCAGTCATTGGCTGTCCGTTCTTTCCCCCCAATTCCGAGCATGCTGAAGTCTGTCATGGCGCCAATGGGCGGGGGAGGGCTCGGAAGGACGTATTCAACGATGAGGACCTTGCTGTCCGAACTCATGGCATCCGATAGATGCGTGAGTATCGTGGCGCAGTCTTCGTCTCCATAGTCGTGCAGACATCGCCGGATCCAATAAATCAGTGCGTCTGCATGTGTCAGCTGATCTTCATGAACACGTGAAAGACTTCGAAAGCATGTAAACGTACTTTTGACAGGTTGCGCTTTGTGGAAATCGTGTACCTGGAGGTCTATCCCATCGAGCCCCGAATCTTTGAGTTCGACAACCTGTTGGATCACCTCATCTCTATCCTGCAGAATGATGCGATCGGCTGGAATGAAAGGGTTCTCCTTCATGATCGCTTTGATGGCGTGGCCCTTGCTGCCACCCACATCCACGAGGAGCGGCCTGTCGTGCTGCTCAGACAGCTTCGTCTCCACCCAGCTAAAGTCGTAGATACCGGCTAGAGGAATGAATGACTGCACTGTCTCCATTACTCCCATGAATCTTGTCACTTGCTCCGGGTTCTCTTGGTGAATCTCCCAGATTTCCTTTTCGGGCTGACCGCGTGAAAAGGCATACGGCGTGTGTCGGCGAGTGGCCGGCTCCCGGCGGCCATACTGTGCAAAGTACTCAGGTAGCTTCAGAGCCGTCATAACGTGCTCCTCAAACCTGGCGAACATGTCAGACAATTGATCATTGAACGAGGAAGTCCTCTTGAGTCTCACATCATGTGTAGCAAGAGCTCATTAGGCGTCCCGGGAAGGTACTGGCGGGATTTCTCTGTATGCGCGATCTTGTCTTCATCAACCTGACGCAGCATTCCACTGGAAACAAGCACCCAAGCTAGCCGTCCTTTTCCTTGATGTCAACATCAATGTTCATCGACAGGTTGGGTAATTGGGTGACTTACGAAGTAAAGGCTCATCTGCGCACAGCCTCTTGGCCAACTCAGCATATGTGATAGAGTCTTCCAATGGTATCATATCCAGGGCGTTCCAGTCAAGGAGCAACTTCAGTCCAGTCAGTTCCATGACATTAATCATCCGGTCCATCCAGTCAGGTATCGGTCCTCGCGTTGCCGTGAGTATCTTTTGCGCAATGTCGACGGCGGCGCTGTTCTTTTCAACATCATTTGAGGTCGAAGATGCCAGCTGCGAAAGCTGAGATGCTAGCGTGTTGAAGGTCTCGGAGAGGTCACTCATGATTGGATTTGCGGTTGAGGTGATAAATTTGAATCACTGCGAAGTGTGTCTGTGAGTGTTTGAATCAGGACTTGATGGCGAAAATGTCTGGTCTATCAAATCCCTCCTTCAATATATATCTACACGCTACAATGCAAAATGGCCATCTCAGCTAAGGTCCGGCTTACAGGAAGCGGTGATGAATTTACCGAGCATAATCACCGAGTGCCGGGTGGGTCTCAGGTGGCCGGTAATCGCCCCCGCTCTGCCGTTATCCCCGCGCCGAGAGCGGGGCCGAATCCTTCGGGCTTTTGGCAGGGGGCTCGCTGCCTCCTTAGTCGCGAGAAACACCCGGGCAACCCCCGAAAAGACCGTAGGGCCTTCCCGGAGATTTCCAGTTGTGTTTTTCAGTCGAGACCCTCAGCCTCCCCAGCTCCAGTCAGCTGAAGTGCGAATCGCATTCCGCGGATGGTTGTCACATCAGCTTACTCAGTCGTTTTCGTCCCAGTCGTTGGCCGCCTTTGCCGCCATTCCGGTGCGGCGAATTATCGCACTCGCATCGGCATCAAGCTCTCGACTCGATGTAGGTAGAGACATGACCTGAGAACGGCACTACCACGGCTCTGTCTGACAGTCTTCTCGAACAATTCCCGCGTTCCATTCTGTGCAGCGACCCTGAAGGGAACGGAAAGGCCGTGTTCCCGCGCAGTCTGCAACTCAACACCAAACCCCAAAGCCGCGTTTGCCCATTTGCAAAACCCCCCCTTTTGCCTCTTGTTCCGATTCCAGTCGACTCATGAATTGCCAGAAGAGGGAAATGGGTGGTCAAAGGAGACGACGCATAGTCCATCATGCAGGGTCATTGGGCAACAGAGACCGACGGGGCCAATCTGTCTCTGTCTTGGCAGTCTCTGCTCTGTTCTTCCGGCTTTCCTGTCGTGTTCCGGTTCGATGTTTGTCAATGAACGGAGGGGCCTTGCGCCGCTGGGTATGGGTGGCAGCCGATCATCCGTCACGCCTTGTCAGCCGAGTAGGCCGTATGCGACCAAGACACGCCAAAACCGGCGGCGACATCATCGCCTCTCCAGCCGCACAAGGTATGAATGACCAAAATGATGCCGCGTATTCCCCAGATGAAGAATCTGCGAGCCACAAGAGGCAATACCCTGGTGGAGACAGAGATGCCCATACTGACCTTCGTTTTCGTGGGGATCGGTAGTTTCCTCATACATCTTACCCTGTTTCCCTTAGTGCTAAGGTTAAATCTAGTGGCTTTTTGGCGCAGAGCCGTGAGCCGTGAGCCGCCAACTAGTGCTTGGCCTCCCCCCTCGTAACCCTTGCGGCGATCTAGAGCCTGACCCCGTTTGAACCTGTTTGGAGGCCATCCCGGTTACGCGAAGCCCACCAACCTGGAGAGAGTTTCTCCTCTACATTACCCGAATAGGAAATCCATACATTGGTCATGGAGACCTTTCCCTGGCTTGTGCACGGGAGGCTGGGTGATAGGCTCTGGGGTGATGAGTTGTTTGCTGCATTTGAGTGCCCAGATCGTCGGCAAGTCCCTGTAAGCCATCGGCGAATGACAGATGTCGTCGCGCCTGAAGTTCTTTGACTCTCTGACTCGAATCGTTGGTGAAGGCGTGTGGTGGTGCAGACCAACCCCAAAACGGTAAGATGGTGAGAAGAAGACAGAGCCTCAACCCTGCGGTCTTCCCCCATTGCCACACAATGTCCGGAGGGAGGTCCTTGGCATGGGAATCTCAACGTCTCCAAACGTCTCACGATCTTGTGAGCAAACGTTGCCGCTCAGACATGGGGCTCCCTGCACTTTGCCAAAAGAGTAGCTGCAGTCGACCTTGTGAGACGACTTACACGGCCGAGTTTCGTTTCATCTGAACTTCAACGCTCGCAAGCGCGCACAACTGACTATTTTCCTCCCCACACCAACGGCTCACATAACACAAATTCACACACACCTTGACATGGCGCAATCCTGGATCCGTCATTACGCACCGGCAGAGGGGCGACATAATGGCCAATACGCCATGGAAGCTAGTGCTGCTCCCCTCAACTCAACGACGACAGCCAAGAAGATGCAGCTGACTTGGACGTGAAGACTGGGCCCAACGTGGCACGTAATCCGTGCCCCTCCTCCACCACAGAAACAAGGGAGGGCTCTCGAACACCTTGAGACGTCCGAAGAAACTGCCCGCAAGCCGTGGTGCCGTTGGTCTGGTGCGATAATAATATCCACACCTCTATGGTTTCCATCGTCTCAGGCTTCGGGGGCTGTGCGTATATTGGGCCTATCTTGGTGCAGGGGACTTAGAGTTGCTGCCGAGGTGAACTCACGAAGATGTGCTTTACTGCTTTTGCCCGTGGCACATGAGGTCAGCGCGCAGCCATCCGGTCACTCATATATCAGCTTGATGGTTCCCGGCTCACAATCGGGGATGAAAAAGCATCCTCATCCATCAAACCTTGTCAGCACAGACTTTTCCAACGCTCTTACTTATATACTCCCGGGTTGGAGACTTGCTTCTGCACCTTACTCTATTCCCTAATCATCTTTTGATACCACAACAGCTCACTCTGGTTAGTGACTTATTACCAAAATGCAGTTGACCAAGACTCTCCTCTTCGCCCTCGTCGGCACCGCTTTCGCCTCCCCCATCGAGAAGCGTCAACTCTCCGTCATTCAGGGCGCCGTTACCTCCGTTCAAGGAGCCCTCACCAAGCTCAACACCGCTGTCCAGGTACGTTGGTCCGAACATCGGGCATATGGTACCGTTGGAAAGCTTCGGCTTCGATCTGGTGTAGAGATGGGATATGCAGGAATACAACACGCCGGACATTTGACTAATATGCATGCTTTAGGGCGTCGGCAACGATGTTGCATCCGCACAACCCATTCTGGCTGCCTCCACCGAGGTCCAGAACACCCTGTCAAAGGCCGCCACCGATATCCAGGGTGCTCAGCCTCTGCAGCTCCAGGAGGCTCTTGGACTTCAGCAGACCGCTACCGATCTGACCACGTCCGCAACCACCTTGATTGACACTCTCGTCTCCAAGAAGCCCAACTTTGACCAGATTGGTGTCTCCAGCGTCGTCCTCCAGAACCTCCAGCAACAGAAGACAGCCTCCGCCAGTCTCGGAACCGCCATTGTCTCCAAGGTCCCCGCTATTGGCCAGGGCATCGCACAGCAAAGCATCGACCAGATCACTGCCGCCCTCGACAAGGGCATCCAGGCCTACTCCGCTGGTGGTGCCGCTCCCGCTGGTGGTGCGTAGAGCACCCCCCCTCCGTCGCGCGCCGTCCCCCGCGCCTCCCCCGTTTCCGTCCGTCCGTCCGAGAAATTAAACATAATCGAATACTAACCATGGTACTCTTGCTTTCCAGCCAAACCTGCGACTAACACCACTGCTCCCCCTGCTGCTGCTCCCGCTAAACCCAAGACTCCTGCCGCTGCCCCCGCTGCCCCGAAGACACCCGCTGCTGCTCCCAAGGCCCCCGCTGGGGGTCTTGAGGGTCTGCTCGGTGGTCTCCTCGGTGGCGGTGCGGGTGGTGCTGGTGGCGCCGCCGGCGCCGGAGGCTTGGGTGCCCTCCTCGGAGGTCTCACGGGAGGTGCAGCTGGCGGTGCGGCGGGCGCTGGTGGCGCTGGAGGAATCGGTGCCCTTCTCGGTGGTCTTACTGGTGGTGCGGCTGGGGGTGCGACTGGGGCGACGAAGGCGAACGTGGTCGATTTGGCAGAAGACGCAGCAGAGGAGGACGAGGAATAAAGTACAGACCGGGATACTCCTTACAGCTTGTTTAGCCTGTAGCAAATCATCATTGAGGCTTTCTTTCATCAAATCAGCTACCAACCAAATCGTGACTTGCATGAAGTTGTCCATTATGCCAATTGTGCCTTCAGTACCTGGGCCATCAATTGTGAGGCACTCTACTGCGATAGTCATCTTTACCACAACACTTACGGTCTCGATATTCAACGTCTCAGAAGCAGGGTGGCTAGGATGTACGATAGCTCGCCAATCATGTGCACATAGCAAATCTCAGCGGCCTTCCTCGTAGTGGATCAAGATTGGTACCAAAGGCTGTCTTGGACGTTACCTGACGTGGGCAGAGCATTGCCAGATTCCCCGGATTGGAGCACTTAGTGAAACATATCTAGCGTCGATCTTACGATAGACCTAGCCGCAAAACCTCACGTCGCAGCGGCACAGCCAGGTTTCGTAGATCTCTCCACTGAATCCTCGTTTACTTTTCTTGATGAGAGAAAATCATACTACGCAAGCCTACCAGGCTTTGGGCCCCGCGTATTGGCTAACTTGGCGAAACCTTACTAACGTATGTCAACAGCCTATAGGGTTGTCATGCGCGGCAGGCGAGTCACCTTCCCGAACTTTTATCTTGTGATGCCGCGGCGCCGAATGGTGGTTTGACCACCCACCCCTGATAGTAGATGACAGTTGTTGGCATTTCAACGTCAAGACAACCCGTTATGATATGATCAAGAAGAACTTATGCCGTTCGTCTTCCCCGCATAGCATTCTCGTGACAGAACCTTCCCCGCGTGGGATCAAACCCTTTTGTTAAGTATTCCTGTCTCTAATAACCACAACGTCACTGCCTACAACTAAAATGACGTCCCCCAAGAAAACGTGCCAACCGATCGACCTCGCGCTAGACATTGGAGACGGCGTGTCGCCCAGATCTGGTCTGCGCTTCGGAGGATTGGCGACGCTCCCGTGATTCCTGGCAGCTCGATGTTACATGGTAGACCTTGAACACAATATTGACAGGGCGGGAGGGCCAGGGTCCCCAGTCGACCGGGACGTGTCTCTGGCACTCGGAGCCGCTAATCTGTTGGCCCAATCGCATCTCGATCCTGGACTATGTCAGTTGGCCCCTGTCTTCTTTCACGCCTTCATCTTGTGAGCAACCTACCTAGTGTCTGAGTCCTCTTACGACAACCCCAGGGAGCAGTGTTTGATCCTCGCGATCAACATCATGGAGTTGGTTAGTCTCTCGGGGCTCAGCTGTTTCGACGATCGAATCCCACGACGCACAAGTATAAGCGTGAAGTATAGGCATGCTATAGGGTTATTTGAAATGGATTAATATACCTCCTACGTTTACTACACGAATATTTGGTATGAATAGCGGAATCTCCTGACATTCGAAATAACGTAGTTTCGATGTCATGAGACTCTGCTGACAATGTGCCTCGGTCCTCCAGATTTCTGGCACAGTGACTTATGTGTTTCCGTCTAGCACAGGTTTTCAGAATCCAGTTCAGGCTACAGAATGTGAAAATTCAAATCTACTGTGGTTTAGAGTGTGCGATCATTACTTCTGGAAGGGGAGTCCAAGACTTTGAATTATTCCAAGGTCGAGTGACTTCCAGCTTGGCGAAACAAGCGCACTTGCGTCAAGAACGTACAATATCCTCATCAGAGATGAAATGTGAACCTCCCGCACACCGGAACCCCATACTCTGCTTGATCCAATCGAAATTCATGGGGCATCGACCCATCATCGCAGCTTTCTTACGCTGCTCTTCTTCTTTCTTCCGTCGCTCTTCCTCCTCAATGAGCTCTTTGAGAATTGCCTCCCTGGCAGCCCCAACTGCTCTGCGCTTCTTCTCGAGCATTTCTCGGTACTTTGCGTCGTTTTCCTCTTGAGCCTTTTTGTCTTTCTCCAATTGTTCCCAGACTTCATCGCTGACACCAGCGTCGCGTATTACTTTCCGACTCTCGTCACTGACTTCCATTACCGGACTCTCGCGAAGCGTTGGTTCTGCCTCCTCTCCAGTGGCTTCGACGGCGGCGGCGGTTTGTTCACAAGCTGTTGATTGCACGCTTTGTGTTTGAGGGGGCGATGGCATCTGCTGGAACAATTGGTCGAGCTTGGGCACGCCATGAATGGCCCCTGCCTGCCTCTCCCGGCTTTCGCGTTCATGAAGCATCTTGAAGAATTCTTTCTTTACAAGATCTTCATCGATTGTCACCTGGCCTTCGCGGCAAGACTTGATCGCCGTGCTGAAAATCGACTTGGCAAGGCTTTCAACATCTCGGGCACTAGCCCATCCGGCAGTTGTGGTGAGTTTGTGAAATATGGCGACAATGTCTCTCTTGAAATCGGGCGATGGATTTGATAGACAATCCATTGCGAGATTATTAGATGGATTCTTGCTGTGAAGAGTCCGCTTTTGCTTGAGTAGAAGCTGGCGCAGAAGCTCGTAGCAACTCTTAGGGCTTAGGCTGTGGAAGTCGATAACTTCTGGAAATCGACTTGACATTCCCGGGTTGACGGAAAGTAGTCGATTGATGTCCTCGTCATAGCCAGCCAGAATTATTACAAGGCGATTCTTGTATTTGTCCTTCGTCACCGAGTCAACGACCTCATCAATTGCCTCTTTGGCAAAGTGTCCTTCAGCAAGACGATAAGCTTCATCGACAAACAGCACTTTTCCAAGAGCCTTGTCCAGAAGTCGCTGCACTTTAGGGCCGGTTTGACCGACGTATTGGCCGATGAGGTCGGATGCAGAGCAGTCGATAACTTCTGCCTTGGCCAAGAACCCCATGTCGTAGAAAACTTTGCCCATCTTTCTCGCCGTTGAGGTCTTTCCCGTACCCGGAGGGCCACGGAAAAGGAAGTTGAAAGGAATACTCTCCTTTGGGTCCATGTTCAGTGCCTTCATAGAACGTACAGTCTCCTGATATCCCTCAAGGGTGGCAATAATCTTCTCGTAACCAACCGTCCCCTCAAAAAGTTTGGCAACATTGGTCTCAGCCCGATCTGCGCGGTCAAAGTCGTGGTCAAAGTCCAGAGCTTCCAACGTAGAGACGTGATGGCTTTCTTTAGCGGTTAGTCGTCGCTGATGACGTGCCTTTGCCTCGTTCAGGAGAATGTCCACTTCTCCTGCGTTGCCAAAGTTTGGCCGGTTGCGAGCCCTTTCGAGCATCTCTGAAGCGACTTGCTTGGCCTGATCAGTGGCAGAAAACCCTTGTAATTTGAGTTTGAGCTGCAAGATCTTCCGCATATCTGCCTTCTCGAAGTCTTCGAAGACAAAGGCTGACGACAATGGAAATCGCCGACTCAAGCCCGGGTTGACGTTCTGCATCATCTCCTCCATATGATCCTTATAACCCAGAAGAAGCACACATCGATCTTCTCCTGGAACACTTTGGACCTCGGCAACAATGGTATCTACGACGGCAGTCTTGTAGGGGTCAGAACTGCCCCCAGCTGAGTTACTGCTCCCGTATAGTCCGTAAGCCTCGTCAATGACGAGAACCTTACCGATAGTCGACGCTAATATGCCTTTGGTCTGGGACTCGGAGCCTCCTAGTGCAGCACCTATGAAGTCCGCCGGATTTTTGACAACCACTGTGAAGCATACATGTCAGCATGAGAATTCCGTAGGTAGGCACACCAGCTTACCCTCTCCATTCGATAAGAGACCTAAGTCAACAAGGATCTGGGCGTACAACTTGGCGACGGTGGTCTTTCCCGTTCCTGGCGAGCCGAGAAAGACTTTGTTGAGCGTATACTCGATGATGGGTTCTTCCGCCAGCTCGCGAACATAGTTGGTCTGAATGCTATCTATCAAGGCTCGAACCGATTCTTTGACTGAGCCAAGGCCGATCAAGGTCTGCAACTTCCTCCAAGCTTTGCTGTGCCCGAGGGCAGCTGAAGGTTGAGGTCCAACCAAATCCTCCATTGTTAACAGGAGATCGTCCGGGTTTGCGCCCCCTAGACGAGCCTTTCGAATGCGATTGGCCTGCCGGCTGGAGACAATGGAAAGGAGATTTTCAATTGCTCGCGCATTGCCAAATCCTTCCTTTCCGCGCCCTCGTCCAAGTCTACGACATGCGACGCGGAGGTGGAGATCATCTTCCCACTTCATGCGGCATCCGTACTTCTTGTCAATCTGGAACTGAAGGATCTTCAAAAGCTCGTCATCGTCGTAGTCGTCAAACTTCATCGAAATCGGAAACCGGCTTGGAAAGCCAGGGTTGTGCGCGAAGAAAGACTCCATCTGTTTGTTGTACCCAGCGAGAATGAAAACAATCTTGCCGGTATGGTTCTCAACTTCCGCAAGCAGGAGATCAAGAACCGCGCGGCCACCAGGACTATTGCCTGAGGAGAGTTGATAGGCTTCGTCAATAAAGATCACTCCGCCGCCGTCATTCAAAACGTCATCTAACAGCTTCTGACAGCCAGGCACACCCAAAGACGCCAATTTCGAACCAGACGTCTCTTCGAAGCGACTGCCGGCTATGACACCCACCGACACCAAGAATTTGGCATAGATCCGTGCTACGGTGGTTTTTCCTGCGATCAAATTGTCAGCCGCCGAGCAAGACTAATTGTGAAGGTAATTGAGTCTTGCCTGTTCCAGGATTTCCATAGAGAGAGCAGCCGAATCTCTCCGTGGACAATGAAATCTCCTGTCTCACTGCCGTGTCGACTTTGGACTTGATAGAGAGGAACTCCTCTTTAATGCTTTCAAGTCCGATCATTTTCATGAGTTGATCCATAGCATTGCTGCTAGCCCCGAACTTCGACTTCAAATTCAGCCACTCCTCCTCTGCACTTCCAGGTTTTGGGGCTGGGTTCGCTGTAGATTTTCTTTCATCTGGAAAAGCACCTGGAACTTTCTTGGGAGCTTCTCTGGCAGTCTTCATCGTCTCAGCACGAGCCCTCGTCTGTTGCAGAGCTCTCAGTTCTTCTTTGCGTTCTTTTAGAGTCTTGTTCTGCTCCAGGTCCTCTTGTTCATTCTTCATCAGTCTTCTCTCACGATCCAAGTCGTCTTCCACCTTTTGTAGTTCTTGAGCGTATCTCTTTTGTGCCATATCGCGTTCCACTTCCATCTGCAAGTCGCGCTTCAAGCGCCTCCGAGTGTTCTCATCCTCCTTGAAGCATGCGGCGCATTTTTGGGTTTGGTTGTTGCAGTCTACGCTGTACTTATGCCCCCTGTCGCAGTGCTTTGCGAGCTTTGTGTGACAACGGATCTTGCTGTGATCACTGAGTCTATGGCAATGGTGAAGGCACTTATGTATGTTGCAAGACAACATGGCGTTACTGCATGCAAGTTCCGTCTATTAGCGTGGTTCCTGCTTTTACGTCAAATTGAGCTTCTTGGTGAGACATACCAGGCTTCGTCGCAGCCACCTTCAGGACACTTTACATCAAAGTCATCCGGCCTTTTGAGCAATGCGGTCCTGTCAGGGTGCTGTTGACAGCGAATTGCGAACCCATCATGTAGATAATTCTTCTCTTTCAGTAAGGTGAAGAAAGGCAACCAGACTGCTCTTCCGTGCCCAGATGCCATGAAAGTCTCCATATTGCCTATGAGAATGAGGCACTCTCTTGCACGAGAACACAGAACGTTGAGCCGCTCGGGCGCCTTCATGAATCCGATGTCGCCATTGTTGTTGCTCCTGGTCAGAGAAGCAATGACGATGTCGCTCTCTTCGCCCTGGTAATTGTCTATATGCAGAAATAGGTAGGTAAGGCGTCAGTCTTCAGACTTCATTGACTGAAAGTCTCTTGAACTCACCGATAGTCGAAAGTTTGATTCTTCCTGATCCTGATCCGTCAGGCACTTTTCCCGCGGCGGCAGTCATGAGTCCCGCGCGAATGAGCTCAAACGAATCTAAATCATTGAGCCAGGGGTCATTCTCGGAACTCAAGGTTTCTCTGAGTAGGCGCAATTGTCCCAGATATGGCGTGAGAATGACGAGGTTTTCAGTGCGATATCCTTGCTGCCCAAGGTATTTGACTAGCTTCAGAACCATTCGCGCTTCATAAAGATTACTCTTGCTAGAGACAACACCAACATCGCGGCGATCGGTAATATCGCCAGCCAGGTCTTCCGGGTGGCTGTGGTTAACGAAACTGACCCTTCCCTGAAATCCCCTAGGAGGCTTCCGATCCTTGGTTTTGTCACCGTCCAATAGATCCGGGTATGTCATCTTCCGAACGAGATCCGAGATATCGGGATGCATGCGATGCTGCTTTTGGAGTGTGACGTGGTCGTGTCCCTGGAGAATCAGTCGTTCAAAGAGCGAGCGATTGAGATCGAAGCCGTCTCCTTTTTCGACGCTTAGAGCATAGTTGTTGATCTTGGGTCGCAGTTGTTTATGGTCCCCGATTAGTAGGAGCTGCTTTGTGTCGCTGTGCAAAGCAGTCAAAACGTGAGCCTCGAGGATCTCACCAGCCTCTTCAACCAAAACGACATCGGGCTTTGCAGCCTTGATCAGCGACTTGTACATGGCAGCCGCGGTTGTTGTACATCCGATAATCCTCTTCGTTTGCATAAAGGAACATTTGGACTCGTTGAACAGCCTGTCCACTTGCTCCTGGGCGTTATTAAACCTCTTGATGAGGTTCTGGACTGCTTCGATTCGTTCCTTGCGAATGCACTCGACCCATCGTTGGATATGTGCAGATTTCTGAGCCATTGACAAGCACCAGATATTCTGGCTACCAGACGAGACGAAGTGTCGGAGCTCACCGGCATCTTGTCCCGTAATCCACCGGCCCAGCAGATAGTCGGGACCCATGGCCCTGTTACTCTTGCCTGCTATCTGGAAGCCTCTCTCTTGCTCGGGCAAGAGAAAAGCTTCATAAAAGGGCTGGTCGTCGTCGGAGAACTCGAGAAAGCTCAAGAGCTCTAAAGAGCCAACCTTGTCCCGGACGAGAAGGTCGCATGCTGCCTCGATCTCTCTTCGAACTTCATTCATCTCTGCTCTCATGCCGTTGATATGTTCCCACGTTGCATTAGTTCGACGGTAGGCGTAACTTCGCAATTGCTTCTCCAGTGACAGTGCTGAAGTTGATTCCGTCGACTTCGATCCTAAGCGCACCATATCACCAGGTGAGATGCCAATTTTCATCAGATCCTCGAGGAACTGGTCCAGCGCATGATTAGTGTAGCTAAGCACTAGAATTCGCTTTTCCGGATCTCCAAGCAGTATCTTAGCTGCCAAAGCGCCAACGAATGACTTGCCAGTTCCTAGAGTTCGGTTAACCTTGTACATATTCAAAGTATAATATGTTTGTCTTTAGTCGGCAAGACTAGGAATCGCGTACCAGGAGGGCCTTGGATGAGTGCCAAAGGGCTCTGTAACGCATGCAGCAACGATTGAAGCTGAGAATCATCGAGACGAAAAGTCTGCATGCCCAAGGAAAAGCAACGTGATCCATTTTCCATCAGCTTTTCCAGTCGTCTCACGTATTCTTGAACGTAAGAGGTTTGCTGAGGTGAGCCTTGTAATTGACTTTTCTCATCGCTAGGGAGCCTCAAAAGCCTGTCACCGAGAGGCAACTCTGTTATTTCCCGAAGACACTCCAGAACGGGCTGGTATGCAAACACCGGAGTATCAACAAGAACGAATCTGAGATTGTTTGACGGTGTGAGTGCCTGCAAAGCACTTGCAGTAGCTTCGCTGCCAGTGAACTGTAGGGTAAGAACGGGGGGTTTCTTCAGTAGTTGGTCCACATCCCGTAACAGGAACGCGAAAGCGACGATGTGATCTTCGCCACATAAGGCGCCGAAAGACTGGTGTCGAAGGAAATTTTTGTGATCATCAAAAAAAGCCTTGCATTGAGCCGGCGATAGGTTCTTCATGAACTCCAATCCCCCAGAGCATGTTAGCGCGACCGCACAAGCATGGCTTCGCCTATCATCGCCGGTGTCAATCCCGACAGGCAATAATCCTGAAAGTATCTGGGCCCTCTTCTTGCTCTTCTTTCTTCCCATAGCTACTTTCAAATCATCACGGAGTTCGCCCAGCATGTCTTCACGAAGAAGGCGGAACTGGTTATCCAGATGAACACGCGGTCGCTGAACCTGATCTGCAGTAGCAACCTCGGCTGCCATTCGATAGAAAGGCCTCGCATTGGAGTAGAACTCATCACTCGTTGGAAAGATTGAAACATCTCGAAAGTTTGAAAAGTCGTTGTCATGGCGGCCACCGGCTGTCTCGAGGGTCTTATCGCCAGAAGACGATCTGAGAGCGAGTACTTTTCTGATCCTGTAGACGAAGTCGCGAGTCCCATGGTTCCGAGCCTCGCGAAAAGGCTTCTCGTCCAAGACGCCCGTGATGTCCTCTACGATGGTATCGATTGTGATTTCAGAAAGACCGGAAAGCTCGAAGCAGAGCCATGCAAAGACTTGAAGCTCGTCTTCGGTAAGTTGAGACTCTCGGAAAGCACTCAGGAGGTTTCCCCAGAGAGCCGGGGGGTGGGCGATGATGAGTAGGACTTGGTGAAGAAGCTGTCCACCATACATCATCTTCACTGCGGGGTCGCTCAAATAGGCAATGAATGGTATAACGTGTGCCCTCATAAAAGAGATTGACGAATCGATACGGATGCTGTTGCTGATGGCATTGCGTGCAACCTCGCTGGCCGTGATGATCTCCAGGCAGGCGGCGGGAGAGGTGTTCGTTCGAACTGCCTCGAGGAACAGACGTGCCTCGCTTGCCGTGTAAATTGCTTTGCCGCCTTTGGTGACATCTCTGAATACCTTCAAGAGGCGGGAAGCGCGAGCAGAATCAATCTTTGGAGGGGCCATGACACTCTCTGACTTGAGCAGGACCATGATTTCGTGCGTAAGGAATTGATGGAAAATATTCCAATGACTCAAAGAATCTTGAAATTTGGATTCTGGAGGCAGATGAGTTTTTGCAGTGAATAGATTCGGAAACTGATGGCTGGGCCTCGTTCTCAGTGCGGTTTCCTGGCCGATCAACCAAGAAGTTGTCACATGCCACGGTTGGCCCAAGTATATGTAGATAAGTACTTAAGGTTAGGCTTCGACGTTTTCTGTTGGGAGCCAACACTTTGGGGACGTAAGATAATAAGAAAGTAGAAATACCACCAAGAGTAGGCGTTCGTCTCGAAGATTGGGTCGCGAGGTGAGGGGTTGTAGGCCTCCGGCATAAAGGCTGCAAGAGGCCGCCTCGAAGCTCGATGACTGGTTCGCCATCCACAGAGCGAGCCGCCATTGAAGAAAGGTCAAAAATCAATATGATTTCCAACTGCTCCGTCGTTTCTGATTCTTCCATCAACCTCATTGAGTTGTCTGACTCTTCAAAGTCCTCCGTTCTGCACCATGTATCGAGGACAGAAACATGACCAGTTTCAAAGAAGCCCGCGATGGCGGCGACCAGAACCTGCGACGACGTGGCCGGCCCCACCATTCGGGCCACTCGTAGAGACTGTCAGTGTAGCAGAGCTATCGCAACCTGCCTTGGAGTTTGAATCAACTGCCCGGGTGACGGGCTGCCAGCTTATCGCGTCGTATAACTGGCTGGACAGGCCATCGCCGTCAATTATCGTCCCAGGTACGTAATGCCACTGTACTCGTCTGAGGACATAGTAGTAATAAAGTCAGGTGCGCCACCCAGATGGACACCCCTCGCGGAACCACGACAACTGTCAGAAGACGACGGTGTCTACTATCGTGACAAGAACGCTGCCCGATACCCAGCTCATCCGATGGAGCCAGCCATCCAAGCTGTCCTGATGGCGCACACCAAGCCCTCTCCCATTCCCGTTGACATCGTTGCCTGTGGTAGTACCATCGGAAACTTGCTACGCTTCATTCGAGGTGACGAGCGACCCTTTCGGATGCTCCTCGAGGTGGTTGGCGACGCTGTCCACCTAATCCGTAGGGAAAACTCCCCAAAAGAGACAATGTCCGATGTCAGGGGTTATGGCCACAAGTTTCCAGAGGCCTATACGACTTGGGATGCTGAAGTCCGCGGTTCAACATCCCACCAGCGGATAATCCAATACGACTTTGGGGGTCTTCATTGCATTGTTCGTCATGAGGGTGATGGCTACCTCAAACACAAGCAAGGGCCGTCTATGAACGTTTCTGGTCACACCTTTGCTGAACAAGCTTCGGTCGACGGCCTAATTGAAGAACTCAAAGTCAAGGAGATGGCACCAAAGAGTCCGCAGAGCTCGCATCAGCAAGTACAAATGAAGAGTGGCGGGTTCGAGGTGCCCCAATCTGCTGTTTTCGATCTGAAGACTAGGTCAGTCAAGCGCAAAGGCACTGATTTTCTTGGCGAGGAACTTCCACGGCTATGGGTTGCCCAAATTCCTAATTTCATCCTGGCATACCACGATAGAGGTACATTCAAGGATATTGAGGTCATGGATGTAACTCAGCAGGTTAAAGCCTGGGAGACATCGAAGAACCAAGAGCTCTCTCGACTAGCAGCGCTCCTGTCTCACATCGTTCGCCTTGCTCGTGCGCGGAGGAATGACAGGCTTGAGATCAGCCGCCAGCAGCTAAACAAGCTCGAGATTCGGATTCAGTGCTCTGGACTGTCTCCGGCGTTCTCTAGTGAAGTCAATGAAGAATGGGCAATGTGGCTAGCTGGGGATACTACACGGGATGGCTTGAGTACGGACGACGAGAATGGACTCCAGTGGAGCGATGGCGACGGTGATTATACAGCCTGTTCCGAGAACTGTTCATACTGTGGAAAGTGCACGTATTGATAGTGGCATTTCCGTCCAGACTTGCAGACTTGATAGGTATATGAAGGCTCTGGTAGTTCCTTTCCAGTGTGCTACGATGATTTAAAGACCCGTGGAAGCCAGTGGTGTCTCCTTCTGCCGGAAGAATCTAACCATTAGGCATTTCAAGCAGATTCGCCCTCCATCTTTGCAACTCTCTATGAATAGCGTCTACTTGCTCAGTGGCAGGCAATGTTTCAGCGGGCGAGAGTGATCATCTTAGTTCTTCGCATTCGACTAAAATCTGAGCGCGTGCCTGAACAACAAGGTAGAAGAAAGCAGCTGGATGCCTCTTATGTGAGTCACATCAACCCAGTAACGGGCGGCAGACTCCGATATCCGATTCCATTACTCAACGATAATGCCTTGCCAATTGCTGAGACCACCGTGCCTTCCATGGAGTAAACTCTCATCCCGGTAATTTTTGCAGGTAGTCTGTCAATTTTGTGCTTGCATAAACCGATGTGGTCATTCTGAGCGCCCATATATCGAGTATTAGCCAGCTTCGATCCCTCACATCATTCTATCTTCATTAGAGGATAAGCTTCATCCATATTCTCTCGAAAAATCACAGACAACATGAGTGACCCCCTCATTGCCAGCAGCAAGATGTCTGAAGCTACAAACCCCCCACGAGGTATCACGATATGCGTGTACTGTGGTTCGTCGACCGGCAATGACCCTGCCCACTTGCAGACTGCGCGGGATTTGGCGAGGCTCATGGCTACCAGAGGAATCAAGTTAGGTGAGTTCACAATTCTTGAGCCGAAGCCGGACTTGGTCTATGGTTTCTAATCATCATGGTAGTCTATGGCGGAGGGACCGTGGGACTCATGGGGGAAGTGGCCAAAACCCTGGTATCACTATCAGGTCCCGACTCAGTACACGGTATCATTCCTGAAGCACTCGTCAAGTTTGAGAGGGACGATACCTACAACAGCGTTACTTTGGGGAACATGCCCATTCCGGAGGAGGCAACTTACGGTCGCACAACCATTGTCAAGGATATGCACACGCGCAAGCGCATGATGGCGGAAGAGGTGATTGCCGGAGGGCCCGGATCCGGCTTCATAGCCCTGGCTGGTGGCTACGGCACCATCGAGGAGATCTTGGAGGTTGCGACGTGGGTTCAGCTTGGGATCCATCAACGCGGCGTTTGCCTGCTCAACATCAACGGCTTCTGGGATGGAGTATTGGGCTGGATTCTTCGAGCTGCTGAGGAGAAGTTCATTCAACCAGCTAACGCGGGGATTGTGGTGGAAGCAAGCACCCCTGCTGAGGCTATCGACAAGCTCGCCGCATATGAGGTCCCCGATTCCATCCTGCATCTTGAATGGGATAGGGTCTGAACTCAGCCCTTGCAGACGGAGTCTGTAGATCTGGCTTGTCGGTGATGTAAGATAGAAGAACACCTAGACCACGTTAATGTCGCCTCTCCACCCAATGAAGCTCTCCATAGCCGCTGCATTCGCTACTCTTGGGAATCGAAATGGCTGTCGTGTGCAGGCAATGAGAATGTCATCTTGTTTCGTGACGCCACTGAGACAACCTCCAACTTCTTGTGCCTCGAACATTCCAACTTGCGCTTGACGTTTTGGTAGCCAAGCTACCATAGGCACAGATTTCGACCATTCTTCAGTACCTTAGTCTGGCTTCTTCAACTCCTGGTGATACTGTAACCTGGTGAGCGCTGTTTCTGCCCCAGGTATCACTGCACTATGCCGCCCGCAATCACCCGGTACCGTTCGGTATTCCCCGGATTCGGCGTTTGAGATTTTCATTCGGTATTTGAGTCTGAGGTTGACAACCAGGATCTGCGACTCAGTGCCATTCCTAATTACCTCTATTCACACCGAGCCATCCTCCAATATGGCCAACCAGCTCTTTGAGAGCCAACTCGTCAGCTTCATTGTTGAGCCTGACTGCCTTCCTGAAGCCCATGCAATAAATCGCACATATACAGCAAGTCTACTGGCCCATCGTCTCGGCACGAATATTCTCTAGCTCCAAGGCGGTCATCCAGCTGGGATGACGTGCTTACGTGCCATATGACCATGGGACTGTGGACCTAGAGACCTCCCTCCGTGGGACTTCCGGGTGGCTTGAGCGATTCAATCATGGCAAATGTGCGGGATATGGAGTGGCCCGTCCACTGGACCACAGAGCTCCCCGCCGCCTCCAGTGGCTTTACTTTTCCGGCAAACGGTTCCTTGAAGAGTCGGCGAGAAATTGTGATTTCCAACGGGAATAGTGTTCTCGTGAGTTTTCTGGAAACATTATCTGGGTACGCAGAGGCAGTGCCAGCCGCCGTGGCCACAGGTATCATCGTGCGGGAATGGGAAGACATGAGCACATATACCCGAGCTGCCGCAACTGAATCGGCGAAGATGTTGAAGTCGCCGTTCAGGGTGATGTTTCCTGGTAGAATCTGACCACACCACGAATCGAGCAACGGAGTAACGCCTCGGGAGGCTTCACCGAGGTAGACACCCCCTCTAGCATCCAACCAGTGGCATGGCAAATGACCGAAGAGAGGCTGGCCATCCCAATAACCCCCCTGTCACTTCATCTGAACTTGGAAGCCATTGAAATATCCAGCGCGTGGTATACTGACGCATTGGATCAAAGTAGAAGGGATGGTCATCTCTCAATCCTACTTGCAAGAGTCGCCGCCGAGGTCACGGGTTCTACGCAATGTTGCACAGGCTCTGGCTGCTCGGTAATATCTGAAGAGATGAGACTTCGGCCACTCCTGGCTGCGGTCATTTTGAACAGATTTCCGGTCCTATGGGTACGGTGTGGTCAGAGATGTGGCAAAGAATTTCATCGCATTGTTTTGAGGGAAGCCTTGACGCGCGGGACGTGAGAGCGCGTTTGAGTGGGTCAAATCAACATCGACAGGTGGGGCCGGCAGGGCAAGGTGAGCAAGGTGTAGTTCGGTGAGAAGGAGCTCCACCGAGATGTTCACCACTTTACCCCGCCATGTGGGTGAGCAGAATGGCGGGGTAAACTGATTGGAGAGTCAACAGCTGATGCCAAGGAAGCAGGCCACACTTTGGCTCGTAATATTCCCGTTCCATTCCTCTCATGTTATGCGTCTTCCGTCATTTGCGGATTCGCCTTACGAGCTGTTAGGGGCCTAGGTCCTCATTCATTATGAGAGAGCCCAACCGCTGCCGGGTCATCTGGCCCTGCTTTCCTAATCAACTCCTATATGTTTTACTCGATTATGCTGTTTGTAGAAGTCAGCGGGATGCTCCTGTCGCTGAGCCTAATCGGCCTACGACGTCTGCCGGTCTCTGGCGGCCTCCCGCATGCGAACCGAACCAACCACTATGAACTTGACTTATCTACACGCGCCTGCCAAAACTCTCATGAATGGCTGAAACATGGAGTCTGATAAGTCAAACAGGTATGCCATTCCATGTTCATCCCTCCAACAAATGGATGCCTGGACATATCAAGGTTGGGACATTCTCCATGCCCTGGGGCTCTGGGGGTTGTTCTAGGCATGATGGCAACTTTAATTTCCCATCTCGACACCCTCATCTACCGGTGGGAGGCTCCGGGCTTACTTTCAAGGTCTTGGAACGATATTCGGGCTATTTTCACTCACTTTCTGTGTGATTTTGCGTTCTCTCGGCTTGTGAAGGGGCATTTCTCGATCTTTTTTCGTTTCCGATTTCACCTTTTCAATTTCAAGTAAAACTCACATAGTGAACAGTAGCTTCATCAAATTCAACCAAAGCCGCTTTTTAATACAAAAACCACTCGAGCGTAAGGTTCGACTTGGTTCATTACTCCAACAATCGTAGTACGAGACGGCTCAACAGCAAATAGCAAATAGCCACGGGTCAACGTGGCGGACGAGCTGCGGCAGTCATTAGGCACGGCCTTTGGGCCATCACGTGTGACGTGCAGCAAAGCAACTCGCCCATCAGTCGTCAGCTTTTTCAACATCCTGGCCCGGCCGAATTCGTTGGATCGGGGCTCATAGTCAGATTTTTATTTTGAGTGCAACTGTGACGATATGAGAAGTAGGGTCAGTATACACACATCATCAACACTACCGTTCTCTTGTCCAGATATCCCGTCCGGTCATCGGGTAGCCAAAGTGGGGCCGGCCGTTTCCCCAAATTCATCGTCAATGTGCCTCACCTGGAAGTAGAAATACTCGTCCAGGGAACAACGTAAACAAACAGAATAAGAAGGGAAAGAAGGAAATACAAAGAAAGAGAGAAAGAGACAGAAAAAACGGGCGTACGCGTCACTGGTAGGAAAGAGCAAACGGCCAAACGGGGGGCGCGCGTCATGAGATGAGAGACAATCGGCTGCAGGATCCCTTTCCTCCGCTGCCTGCCGCTGCGCTGAATTCAACCTGCCTTCACTTCACTTCACTTCATCTCACTCCACCTCTCACCTTCGCAGCTGCCCTGCCGCATCAAAATCTCACCTTATGCCTTCCAGAACCACTGACTTCTCAACCTGCAGGAGGCAACTCACTCATTTTGATTCTTTAAAGCCTGGGAGTCGCAGCTGGACGACGCTCATTCATCACCGCCTTAACCGCTGCATATTCCTCGTCATCATTCTTTGGCGTCACCGGCTCATCGACTCAGCCTGATGAATCGCCACCCACGATAATTATCCCCTATACAGACCTCAACATCGTGAACCAAAACCTGCAAGGTATCGTCGGTGACCGGGCCATCAATCAAGATGGCTTTCTACCAGCAACCCCAGAACCCATATGGGACCCCGTCACTCGTCATCGAGCCGACCCAGAGCTACCTCTACCACCTTCGGTCAATGGCCCATCGGAAAGATATACTCATCAAGAGCGGCTTCATCCTCAACCCACTATCTGAGAGAGATATTGACGATAAGAAACGATGCCGCAGATGCAACCTCCGCTGTGAGTATTCGTCCATCAGCTTCTCTTCTCTCCAGGACCCCACGTCGCTCCTCACCGTCGCCATCATGATACTGACTTCAAGGCAGGCTCCAATAACAGGAACAAATTCAAATCGAATGGGAATGGGTCACAAGCCGATGCAAAGTCCTCATCCGTCCAGCCCAAGACCAAGACGTTCACCAGATCTTCGTCCATGGCCGACGAGGAGCCCGAAGGCGCAAAGGGGGACGAGAAGCCCGCAAAGCCGGTCCTCAAGTGTCAGTACCACACCGGCCGCGTTATTAATATGGTACCCTTACCCTCCTCCTCATTTTTGTTCTCTTTGTCGGACCTAGCTGACGCATTTAGCGCTGGAACTGCTGTAGAGTTCACGTTTCCGAACCAGGCTGCACGTACGCTCCAGAGCACCTCGTCCGGAACTATCCCTCGGGCGAAATCCACGACCGCCACCAATTCCACAAGACTCCGACCCACGCCCTCCTGGACCTGGGAATCGACACCGTGCCGTCCGGTCAGAGGGCGCCGCGCCGCGCCGTCGCCATGGACTGCGAAATGGGCGTCGCCTACGACGGCGAATCCGAGCTCATCCGCGTCACCCTCGTCGACTACTTCACATCAGAGATCCTCCTCGACAGCCTCGTCTACCCGCAGGTCCGCATGGCGCACTACAACACGCGCTTCTCGGGCGTCTCCCGCCAAGACATGCAGGCTGCGCGATCAAAGGGCAAGTGTATCACCGGCGGGCTGGCCAACGTCAGGGCTGCCGTATGGGAGTGGGTGAGCGCCGAGACCATTGTTGTTGGACACGCCGTTCACAATGACCTCGCGTCGCTGCGTTGGATTCACCCAAAGGTGGTGGACTCCTTGATTCTCGCTACTAACGTGCGGGCCGAGATTGAGAGACTAGAAGCGGAGGAGGAGGAGAGAGCCACTAAGGAGGCCGAAATACTTGCGGCTGAAGCTGCTGCTGAGGCCGTGGCCGAGGGCGGTGTCAAGTTGGAGGAAGAAGACCTCATCTCATTCGATAAGCCCGAATCCTCGGAAAAGGCCCCGGAGGGAGGAGGTCCCGCCGAGAAGAAGCCCCAGAAGCGCAAGACTGGCGGACTCTCCCTCAAGGCGCTGACATCCGAGATGCTTGGTCGTGACATCCAAAAGGGTAGGGTCGGTCACGACAGTCTGGAAGATGCCTTGGCGTCGAGGGATCTGGTGCACTGCTTCGTGGCGAAGAAGCTTGCAGAGTCGGTCCAGGACGGAGGACCATTCGTTCCTGGTTTTTGGTGATGGGAAGGAGAATGGGGCAGATATGCTTCACGCCCATTTTGAGTGTATTCATTGTCTTTCTACTTTCTAGGGATGGAGAGGAGAGCGATGCAATTACCATGGCACGGGGGGTCAGGAGTCGAACGGTTCACATCGTCATAGCATAGCACAGCGAGGAGACAGCGGCTGTATCAAATTACATGTTCTGGGATTCTTCCCATAGGTTGATAACTTCACCAATGCCATTCACACCTGCGATTCACCTTGGACAGTATTTTTTTTTATCGAGTTCACCTGAGAAGAGAGACCATTCCGTACAGTCCGAACACGGGTTTAATTTCATGCCAATGCTTTGCTAATTTGATACCGCGGCCTCGAGGCCGAACTAACCTTACCCGCCCCTAACAGTATGCCGTGTTGCTCCCAGTCTCAGAGAGGACAGAGTGTAATGAAAATCCATAGTCTACCGCCGACTAATGACGGGTCAATGAGAATTGGCCTCCAAGCGGCCAACGTTTGTTGTGTGTGGAGAGGAGCCCTTGATCTCAAGCCTAGGACTGCCAAAACTGCCACAACCAAACACAATCATCCATGTGATGGATACTCTTGTGCTTGTCACACGCATCCTTTCAAGTGTTGCCAAACAATGCCAAAAGGCTACATGGACCAAAAAAAAAGTCCAACCAAGCTTGAAAAAGGGTCACCGACAACCTTGCCTGTTCCAAACCCTCTGTGTACCGGTGTTTTCCCCGCGCGCTCCTGGGTATATTGTCGTTGCGTATCTCATGCCAGCGTATCATAGTCTCCAACCGCTTCCCCCAAAGGATATACGAGCCTGCTTCAATTGCCCTTTCGCTTATCAATGCTGCTGTTGTCCGTTTGGTGTGGTAGGCTCAACCATATCCGGGTCCAGAGGTCCCAGCATGGATGCCTCCATGGAGATAACACTTGCCGGCCGACTGCGATGCGAGACCGGGCTCAACATTGATGCTTCCATTGATGCCGTGCTGGCACCGAGGGGTGCAGGTCTCCGATTTGTGTACGCGGGGAAGCCAAGGTTAGTGCCCTGCGGTGAGAGTGCGTTCGCCGTCGATGTGCTGGGTCCGGCGCTCGTCGGGGAGTAGTGGCTGGAGATGACCAAAGGCGGCGGGTGATTTGCCGGTCCCCCGGCCGTTGGTGAGCGAGTTGACTGTGGAAAGCTGGGGCTGGTAGGGCTGAATAACAAGGGAGCCTGCCCAAGTGGTTGGGCGAACATTGGCACAGCGCCGGCCGGAGGGACATGGTTCGGCGGGGGCGGAGGCACACCGTTTTGGGCATTGCCGTTGACAAGGTTTTGTGCCAACAAGGGCTGGCCATCTACAGCCATTTCACTGCCGTCGAGGCCCTCAAACTCGTCGTCTTCTGGCACCTCCGCTTCGTCAACTTCAACATCCCCGTTGGTCTGCCCAGCGTGTCCGGCCGTTGCGCGGGGATCAGCAGCCCGACGTGCAGGGAAGCTCGAGAGTCCCGGGAACCGAGGACCAGGAGAGTCGCGAAGACCTTCGTATTCGGGAGAGTTGTTGAGGTAGTCGCGGAGCTTCGTGACGCCGACGCCAGAGAAAACGCAAAACACGCCTCGCTGATGATCCGTGAATTCTGCACGTCTTGTCAGTTTGTCTGTATACCTACAATGAGAGAGACAAAAAATGGCATACCAGGTGGAGGAGGTCGGCAAAACTCGGCGAATTCTTCTCTGAGGAAAGCAGTGACCCCTGTCAAACTGAGATGGGTCAAGCGTGGGCAGTAGTTGAGCAACTTGATAATACTCTACGACAGTGTTAGTTTGTGATATCAGCAATTTTGCATGGGTTGACGACATGCCTTGAGTGTAAGGTTGGTGCAGTAGCTGAGATGGACTCTTTCGAGGCTGGAGGAATAGTATTCGTCAATGTTGCCATGCGCATCGCGGCGTGCCCGGGGGCGATGGTTGGCGCGAGCGAGCGCGAACACAGACTCGTCGGTAATACTACTGCACTTAACGAGACCGATTCTCTTGAGCTTAGGAAGCTGTGCCAGTTTGGTGACGGAGTCATCTGTGAGGTTGATGCAGCACCCCAGATCAATGTACCGTATACGATTGCATTGCTGCACAAGGCGTTTGACGGCCTCGTCGGTGATATGGCCACAGTGACCAAGGTGCAAATAATGCAAGTTCTTGCCTAGTTTTGAAATGGCATTCACGGCAACGTCGGTGATGTTACGGCACTTGGCCAGCACCAGATTGCGGAGGCGTGGAGCAGCATCAATAATCTTCTGCACCGACTGATCCGTCAACCTGGCGCAAGATGTCAAGTCGAGAATGCGCAGGTGATCGTAGGTCTTGGCCGGGGGCAAAGTCAAAAAGGCGCTGTCGTCGATGAGCTCACAGCCTGCCAACCGAAGCTCGCGGAGAGACTGGCCCTTGGAGATGAGGGCAGTGATGGGCTCATTGCCGATCTGTGCACACTGGTGCAAGTCGATTTCGAGGATATTCGGGCAGTTCTCGGCAAATGCAAGGATGGCATTGTCTTGCAGCTGGGCACAATCGTTGAGTTTGAGCTGTAGGAGAAGAGAGTCATGTCAGCGATTTTTCAAAACGCAATGCGGGGCCCGAAAACCAAGCGCGCAAGCGCATACGGGCCAGGCCTGCAGGGAGAAAAATGGGCAAAGGAGCAAGGAAAGCAAAGAGCAAACATACCCTCTTAATGAACCGGCAGTTCTCGGCAAGCTGTATCATGCTGTCGTTGGTGATCAAGCGGCAGCCAGAGATGTTCAGACCCTGTAACCTCTTGCAGTGCTCGGCGATGGTTTGGATAGAGACGTCTGTGATGTGCTCATCGCCCGAGATATCAAGAGCAAGCAACGAGGAGCTGTTCTCCACCAACTTGGTCAAGCCCTGATCGGTGAGGTTACGGCAGTTGGTCAGGGTGAGTCGCTCGACACGAGTGCACACGGATAGAGGCATGACACTGCCATCGCTGATCTTATCTGCGAGACCACCGGCAGCGAGGTTGAGACGCTTGATGAAGTCGCGGTAGGCGAAGAAGGGCGTCTCAAGTTGCAGAGTAAGGCAAATGGACGAGTGATTCTTCCAGTTTGTGCAGGCGGGGCGATGCCACAGCAGGTCGACGGAGTTCTTAGCCCATCGCTTGCATGTCAGCATGCAGTTGAAGAGGTCGTTTGAGTTGTTGAGCTTGGCGAAGATGGAGATGAGGATCTCGCTAGGGAGGCGGTTGACGGCGGGTTGGCACGGATCATCGCTAACCTGCATGTCCTCGATGTTGGGGACGCCGAGTGATGATTGCGAATCGTTGCCGGCGATGAAGAAGTCTGACTCCTCGTTGTCGGCAGGGAGTGGCGAGTTTGTCGACGACGAGGATCGCGAGTCCGGCGTGGCTGACTGGGTAGCCATGATCTCTATTGAGGGGGCGGCGGGCCTCATGATGGGCGGCTGCGATGTGCGAGCAAGGGAGCAAACGGTCGGCGGATCGTGGATTCTCGCGTGAATTCGGTAAGAGGAGAGGGAAAGGGGGGCTCGGATCCCCGGTCGGAGAGAAGTCGTTGGAGACGGTGAGCGATCTCGAGTCGTGAGTCGTAGATCGTAGGCGCCGTGGGTGATTTTGTCGTCGTGATTGTAGTTTGTAGGGTTGTCGGGTTTCGTCAGGTTGACAGAATGAATGGCGGGGATTTGTCACCAGAGCGAGGGTTGGAAAGGCGAACTAGTTCCCACGAGGCCGATGGAACACTGGAATACTGACACTGACGCCTGACCCACGGAAGGTGGAAATGGAGAGGCTCCGACAGTGGAGGGGGGGAGCCGGGACAAGGAGGTAGGCTGACGCTAGGTCTGTTGTGAGCCCGGTACCTCTGGTGCGTGTACTTTGTAATTGTGTGTGTGTGTCGACTACTGCCTCAGCATGTAAACGGGGGATGGCAGTACGGAGTACAGGCTGTACAGGAGTGAGTGAGTACCCGTGCTGGTGCGTTTTGTGGTGCAGGGCAGGGCGCGGAAGGTATTTTGTGCGACGGAACGGAGTGCCAAGGCAACGGAGAGAAAGAGAAAAGAGTATTCGTAGCAGGCGAGACTGCCAGGGAGAGACGAGAATTATTGTCGGAGACGGCGGATAGAGGAATAGAATTGTATATCTCGATTTGGGATAAGTTGGTCTGAAGTCGTGTCGTCGATGGGAGCAAACTCGAGAGGGAGAGAAAGATCAGGTCGAGAGTTCGCGTCGCGAGACAAGAGAGACTGAAAGGTAACCACGGGGCACAGGGTCGTTGGGTGGCAGTAGGTGGTGTGTGGGCTGCGGTTGCGTTTGCGGTGAATAGTGGATCAGGTTTTGCAGCACTGTCTCTCTCCCTGTTTCTGTCGCAGTGAAGCGAAGCAAAGCAAAGCAAGCAGGACTCAGGAGGGCCTGGAGCGATACCGTGCTGTGCTAAGCTGTGCTATGCTGAGCAGTGGGCAGCAAGTGGTGGCAGCGACAGTGACCAACAGGGCGGGTGACAATGGCGACGGGGCGAGTGAGGCTAGGTAGTGTAGAGCAACCCTGAGCGGCCGTGGTCGCAGGCTCAGAGCTTGCGGGCGGGCGTTCGCGTATGAGGTGGACTCTGTGTGTCCTGTATCCCAGCGAAATGTTAGCAGTGACTTTTGGAGCTGTGGAGAAAGGGAGCGGAGGGAGGTGACACCCATGGGTCTTGGACCTTGGGCTCTCGAAGGGCTGGCTGGGTGGCGGCTGGGCTAGGTAGAAGTGGAAACCAGGGGATAGAGGGCTGGGACCTGGGATGTGTGTATGTATCCGTAGGTACCTTGCTGTTGGGTGGTGCGGGAGGCAGGTCTCTCTCTCTCTGGTGCTCAATGTGTGTCGCCTGCTGCATGGAGCTGTTGATGGCGGAGGAAGATGCGGCGGTGATGGAAGGCGGAAGGGGGAGGCTGACGGCTGGCAGTAGACCGGGAACCTGCGATGCAATGCGATGCGGTGCGATGCGCGGCAACCGGTCGAGCACGAAGTTGACGATGTGCTGCTGCTGCTGCTAATACTACTGTATAGGTAGGCTTCGGGGCAGGCGGTACTTGTTGTGCTTCGTTTTGTGGCACTTGCAAGGGCCGACTTTAGACTCTTGGAGACTGGAGTAGGTATTCGTAAGGTAGAATATCCGTCAAGTAGAATCCAAAGGTTATCGGATCGAGCCGGTCAAGTTCTCCGGGGCGTGGGCGTGGGCGTGGGCGTAGGCGTAGGCGTCATAAGGTAAGGCTGGCGGGAAACCCAACGTCGACGCGTGACCTGCTCTTGTGCTTTGCAGTTGCCGTTCTCCTCTCTCTTTTTTTGGAATTTCTGATCTTTCCCGATTTTCGCCCTTTTGGTTTTTCTGCTGATGTTGATTTTTGATTGCAGAGTCCGAGCATAAAAGGACGGTCGACTTGTTGAAGCAGGAAGAAACAGCAGCAATGCGAAGAGTTACGGGCAATAAGGTAACGTAAGGAAGGAAGGAAGGAACCTGGAGGATGTATCGATGTACTCATGTTCCCATGTACCCATGTACTGACCAAATGGAGGAAGTGGTGTTCCGCAACTTGGGAAGGACGAGACGGGACCAGGACAAGGGACCGGGGAAGGAACAACAGAGGGGTCGCCGAAGTACTCGTCCACATAATCACAGTGCCATGCTACCTTACCTACATACTTCAGGACGTATTCCTCTCTTGTCGAAGGTGACACCATCTCTCATTGGCTGACGGCACACAAGGGCCTGGGGTTTAAAAGTACAAAGCGACGGGAGACGAGGCGAACTAGAAGACGATAATTCTCATTGTACTTTTCATTTCACAGATATCTCATAAGAAATACGCATTGTTTCTTTGTAGACGATAAACTCCTGCTCCCGTGTTTACTGAATTTCTGGCTCATCAACATACAAACTCGAAACCAGACTATGAGAGACGAGACGACATCCCCGACGTGGAGCGTGGGGCACATTCAACATCCCGCTTTCCCAAGGAGTCTTGCGTTAATGCAACCAGCAATGGAAGATGTCACTTCTACCCTTCAAAGTACCTCGCTTTCCAAGGCACCTTGCCCAGAGAAATATGATATTGAGTTGCAAACTCATGGCCAACCAAAGAGATTGCAGAACGTGCCTGGCGGGGAGCGGGAATACATAGAGCATCTGCAAACCAAATGTCGCACAACGCGTTCATGTACCTGCCTACATACCTAAACCCTCCATGGCAGGCAAAGCGGTACTTGAGCATCGCTTAAACTTGACCCAGCCTGCGGCATAACTCAATCTGGCAAAGTACACTCTAAAAAAAGGTACATTCCACTCGCTACCGAAATCACTCGATGAATTGCATTATCGCATTTCGCGCCAACTCCACCAAAATACGTTCGTGGCATTAACAATTGCACGAATGGCCTGGCCAGGGAGACTGAGGCTATCACTGGTACCTGACGCTACGTCCAGGACGGAATGGTCTTCAGCCTCTGGCACGTCTTGTCAGTCCCTTTCATTAACAGAGTTTTGGCTGAGTGTACTTGGCAGTGTTACCTTGATTCGCGGCATTCTTTCTCAAAATTCGACTGAATACTATTCCCTTTGTCTTCAGCTCTCCCTAGGCCGAGTTGTGAGTATAGAAAGAAATGCCAAGTCGTGACTAAATCACCCCAAGCCTATGATGACGAAGACAATCATCTCTGAGAGGGAATGGCCTTCATCAACGTTTGAGAAGTATTCACAATACGGTAATACCATCAATGTAACGTCGGCACTCTGGAGCATATCGAGAACCATGACATCTTGAACTTGTCGGCCTGCCTGCATGAATACATCCAACCTAATCTCGTTACCCTGACGTCGGTGACCATCTAACAACTGACAACAACCCTCAAGGGCTACCTATCTCACGAGTCTCAATGCTGCCGCTCCTCGCCCTTCGCCTCTCGGAGACCAAATCTTCAGCAGATACCCGTGGCGCCATCTTTCCTCAACGCTCAGACATGAGCTCGAGCTTCGTCCTCAGGGCACCCAATCTCCATTCCTGCATCTCGGGGCACAGACGCGGACCCCCATACATTGTGCCATTGTCTTGGCCTGACATTGTTGTCCCCCTTTCTTCATGTGCTCTCGATGACAGTCAAAAGAAATTTCCTCCCACCCTCCCTGCCTTATGAGACGGGATGTCAGGGCCTCGGATGCTCGACTGTAATGCGGTCCGCTCCCCCAGACAGGCTAGACAGCTTTCCATGGCCTAGCTTGTCGTTGCTATTTCGCGAGATACCCTTTTTGAGTTTCCATCTCGGCTTCTTCCTTGATGCTCCTCACACTTCAGCACAAGGATGTTGAACACGTTGGGACCAATGTCGTTGGTCTGCTCAGCACCTGATACCGTTTCACTCCCGCCCACCCCGGTCTTTAAGGACTTTTCCCCCCACCTGGATTATCCCTGCCTCAACGCCTACGAAGCATAGGCAGTACGATGTGTATCTTGCGGCGACTGCTTGAAAGCATAATGACCGCAAGACCACTCGTTCAGCCACATTTGGTCTGACGGCATGTTCCGCATGTCACCCGCAAGCATTATAGAGGAAGACGTCGGACGTCGGGGATCGGTAACTACGATCGCCGAGTTCGCGTCTTCGGTGTGTAGGCCGCGTCGTTGAGTTTCCTCGTCCGTGATGTTGAGCCTTGGATGGGAAGACTGAGTGAATGCCAAGCCGGCTCAGACGGGCTTCCACGGCTTTTGGCTTTTGGGATTCAGGTTCTGCGCTTATACACGAGAGGGAACTTGCTGGTGAGAGTTGGCAGTTGTGGTATCCAGACACTGCCCTTCTCCCATCAGATTTGAGGGCAGCTCTGATGGGCACTCGGTCATCAAGGCTCCCGGGCACCCGAGATCAGTGACCCAGCCCAGAGACACGAGGTATGGTGGGGTAGGCCGATTGAGTTGGGAATAAGGAATAAGGAATGCTCCCGCGGTGGACAAGAATAGCAATCACCCCCTCTCGTACCAAAGACAACGTGTGCAGGGTCTGCGGGAGAGGATAAGACGTCGGGGACGACCGTCTGGGCTCGGTCTCACTTCCTTGGTCATTGAGACGGGCATCAGCAAAGCCCTGCATCGAGTGAGGTTGAATTGGCTTCGCCTGGTTGGCGGTGTTGTATGAGCCTAGTCAAAAGGAATGTCAGACTGCGTCGTCTTCACCATTACAACGGCACAGTCGCGACACTCCCGTGGTCTAGCCATCTGCGAGGTCTGCATGCAAGACAGACGCACACTTCAAGTGACGACTCCGACAGCTAGACCAACGTGTGTGAGTGAGCGGTGGCTTCGCGGCCCAGCGTGATACCGTCACGATCCTGGACACCATCACGCGTGGGCGCTTAGACGGCCACAGACGAGTGACCACTCAGCTTCGCCCATTTCACATTTTCGGATCACAGACGTGCAACCCTGTTGTGATGTAATGGTGGTCTCTGAGCGCGAGAACCCTGGAAGTCTTAGCACCCAGTCACCGAGTGATTGCAGAATCGGCTTGTCACGTCTATCGGGAGACTAAATCCTCATCCTTCGACTTTGACGCATCCTGACCGTTCTCATGGAACAGATGGGCAAATGCATGTACCATGTCAGGTTGCATCCCCCATCCGAGTTCTAGCCATCACCATCTTCGTTCGGGACATTTCCATGATCCTATGGGCGGATAGAATGGAATGATCAGAATAGCAAAATGGCCCAGTCCAGCCCTTGAGCCGCAGCAAATCAACTTTGACCTTGCAGATGTCGCAGATACTATGAGTAGATGCAGCAGCAGTTGGCTCTCCCCTCTTTTGCGTCCAGGAGGCTGCGATCTGAGGCGGAGAGGCGGAGGTGGAGGCGGAGCCGGAGGACACGCGCACATACCACAGCCAAAATTGAGGGATGTCCCAGTACGTATCCTTTCCTTACCTAAGCGAGACGGCAGATGCCGACACGTGACGACCTTTCGCAGGACGTCATTCGGAGGGGCCGATCATGCGCCGGGCCACTCAGGTGCCTCGCTCGTTGACGTGCTGCAATTTCTCAGGGCATCAGGGCACTGGATCCAATGGGGAAAGCTCCAATTGCTATGCACCTCAGTTAACACTGACGCTGGCAATTCCCGATTACGAGCCTCACGTCACGATCAGACTCTCCCCATTGCCTTTCCAAGCTCGCCAGTCTGTGCAGACGAATTGGCCAAATTACACTCGCCCACATGACCAGGCCATGAATCGTCCTGCCCGACCGGCACCGAACTCGATTTAGCAAGCCCGAGTCTACACGACAGTCCAAGGTGCTGCACCATTGACGGCTGTCCCCGCCCGAACCTCCCGCGCCATCTGAAGAATCTCGAATCTCCATCAGCCCACTTCCACCTATCGACTATCAATCCTCCACACACGGTCCATAGTACCGAGTGGCCTCTATCCCTTCAACCACAGGCGCACTCCCTCTCGCCGCCTATACGACTCACACACATACTCGCATACCTAATCAGATTCACGCCCTCTGCCCCGATGTTCCGCCCACGCACTCTCCGGGCCCTGCCCAGGGGTCTGCCGAACCCGCAGCCGCCCGTCCGAACTAGTCGCCGCACCCTCTTCTCTCGCCAGCGCAGCTCGCCGTCCCGCCCCGTCGAGCGCTTCAACCTCGGCCAGCTCAGCGAAGCCCGCTCAAGCTACGACCGAGACCGCACATACTTCCTCGTCGCCGGTGCCCTCGCCGGCATCGTCTCCTTTGCATACACGGCCAACAAGCTACGCAAGGCCCTCGCCGCCGAGAAGAAGCGCAACGCCGCAGAGGACGGCGGCAGCAGTGACAATGGCAGCAGCAGCAGCAACACAAGCGAGCGCGCCGGCTTCCAACTCGATTCGTCCGTGCCGGCAGAGACCTTCACCACCGAGGCCGGCACCAAGCGCAAGGTCGTCATCCACGACGAAGAAGGCAGAGAGCTCGTGCCGACGGGCAACAAGACGGTGCCCAGCTTCCCGCGAACCATCGACCTCTCCCTAAGCAAAACCCACCGCGACCCGGAAGCGCCCATCGCCGCGACAGTACAAGACACGGACGGCGTAGAATACACACTCGTCGGCCTCGGCATCCGCACCGTCAGCTTCCTCAGCATCCAGGTGTACATGGTGGGCTACTACGTCGCCACCCAGGACGTCGCGAAGCTGCAGCACTACCTCACCAAGAAGATCAACCCCATCGCGACGACGCTCGTCCCTTCGGAGCGCGACAGCCTCAAGCAGAAGCTGTTTGACCCCGTCGAGGGCGAGGAGACGTGGACGGCGCTGTTGCAGGAGGTTGGCACCCGCAGCGCGTTCCGCATTGTTCCTGTGCGTGATACCGATTTCCCTCACCTGCGCGACGGGTTCGTGCGGGCCATCACGGCGCGGTCGTCTGCTGATAAGGAGGCGTATGGAGATGAAGGGTTCGGTGAGGCGATGAAGGAGTTCAAGAGGCTGTTCAACCGCGGCAAGGTGCAGAAGAACAAGGAGCTGTTGCTTTGCCGCGATGAGAAGGGCCAGCTCGAGGTCGTCTTTGATGATGGCCGGAGCATGGGCAGGCAGAGCGTCGGCAGGGTGCAGGACGAGCGCGTGTCGAGGCTGCTTTGGCTGAATTGGCTTGCGGGCAGCAAGGTCGCTTCGCCGCCGGCAAGGGAGAGCATTATCGACGGCGTCATGGAGTTTGTCGAGAGGCCAGTAGGTACCGTTGCCGCGCAGGTTGTGTAAAAAATGGGAATGAAGAGAAGTTTGTAGAATTAGTTTCAAAAAGTCACGGCTCAAAATGTACAACACACTAGACGAGGTACTCGCCAAAAGGAGTTTCCCGCAAAAGAAAGGCCCGAAGTTGTTTCCTGGAAATCTTGTATTTTGAGACTCTAAGCACCCATCTTTATGCCTTTAAGCCCATGGTATATCATCCATCCACCATTCTCACTCCCATCGGGTTAAACGATTGTGCAGCAACAGCTACAACTTGGACGGCCTTGAACTCGAGCCGTCAGCGTGCTCTGTGCTGTATGCATTCTCCAACCGATTTCTAATCAAACACACAATGTTTGCCCCCCTCTTTTCTGTCTTTCTCTACACCGAGGACGAAGTTGGGTGCCTTACGCCTTGAGAGCGCCGGCCTCCTTGAGAAGGTTCTCGAGCTTGCCGCCCTTGAGCAGGCCCTGCAGGTCCGAGTTGCCGCCAATGTGCTTCTGGGCGATGAAGCTGTTGGGGACGGTGCGCTGGCCGGTGATCTCGTGGAGGGCGTCCTGGATGGCGCTGCCGTCGTCTGGTGTTGATGTTAGTGAGTTGTCTTGAGGTATGTGTATGGGATGTGGAGTAGAAAAAACGTACCAATCTGGTCCAGCTCGAGAACGGTGTAGTCTGCGTTGATCTCGTCGAGGACAGACTTTGTGGCGCGGCAGTAGGGGCAGTAGGACTTTGAAAAGACGACGACCTTGTTGTCGTCGATGAGGGACTGAACCTTTTGCTTGGTGGCGGCCATGTTTGCTGGTGATGTCGAAGATGAGGAGAAGAGACGTCTGAATAGTGATGCCATTTCGGAGAGAAGAGAGTGGTAGAAGGAGGGGCAGGGGCGATGATATAATAAAATGCAGCAGGCGACGGGGAGGGACAGAAGGTGGGGGGGTTATTTGTCAGGCAATGGACGGGAAGTGTCGCAATGCAGGGCAGCAGGTAGGGGCGGGGTGCTTTGCTGTGCTGGTGCTGTGCTGGTGCTGTGCTGGAGCTGGATGCGGTTCAGTTTAGTTGCGGCGGGACGGGGACTTGCAGCGAAGGGAAAGGCAATTCGGGGCCGAAGGCGGCGGGAGTGGATGATGCAATCGGGACGCTGATTACCTAAGGAATACTGTGAGGTTCTGGACTCCCGCCGCTGGAAGTTTGTCTGGTGGACAGCAAAAGCCGAATTTCCTAGAAGGTGGAGGTCATAGAGTTTAGTGTATCCATACAACTGTGGTGTGGCTTCCAAATTTCGATACCTTTGGGAGCAAAGACCCGATTTATAAGACACCGGCTCTCCCGAAGCTCACCTGCCTTGGCGTGTGTTTCACATCCCAGGTACCTACTACGGTAGTTGTCCCGTACCCGTGGGTTAGTTGAGGTTTGTCAGCTTCGTTCGGGCTCTTGAGAGGCACCCGTGGACAGAAAGATTCCACACCGGAGATGACTTGCTGACCTCGGCGAAGAAGAGATATGAGAAGAGGCCAATTCAAAATGGGCAATGAGCTCACCTCAGCGCCGAAGAGCAAAGGGAAGGATCAGGGCAGGGACCGGCTTGTGCCTCGATTGTCTGCGCGTACTGCTAAGGTAAGCTTGCGATGGAAGCTCCATTAGGTCCCTCTGTCGTGAGATGAGGTAAGCAATCAGATAACCGCCATGGGATGAGGATAAGATAAAGATAAGAGGACCCTGGATTTCCGTGCACCTCAGGTTTTTGTCATTAAGGTACCTACCTTTACGAACACCACCATCTTTTCGTGGAGCATGAAAAACCTACGGGTACCCAGGAATGCATATGGGAGGCTGAGGATATGAGGCTATCACAAGTCGCAGGATCGATCTATCCGCATTACCCACAATGATTACCCGCGTCTAGCGCCTGACCGCATCCTCGGGCACCCTTACAGCGCAGTACACGCCTTGAGGTCCACCTCATGATGACTGGTACATACCTTACACGGCAGGGAAATGGGTCATCGTTGTGGACGGAGTATCTTAGGTATACCGTACGGTGTATGGCTGCTGGGTTGGGTTTGAAAGTCAGACTGGATTATTCCCGGGCCCCTGCAAATATCGGCTGCTCGCCGAATCGTAGCCAATTGCTGATTCCGCCTGCCCCAGTTCTGGTCGCGCAGAGAATCCTCGCGGACTGGCGACAGTTACCTAAGTATTTGCAAACACCAAGCCATTCTCAACCAGGCTTCGTGTCCTCTTTACCGCAGTTTTGCCTATACAAGAAACTATTTGAAGGCTTCAAGAACTGGTCCATCTCACCCTGCTACTCAATTCATTACCAGCCAGCCAACCCCTGATAACAGTCATCGAAAGGGTAAGTATAGGTATCTAGTGTATGTATCTTGATAGCTCGAAGCGCAAAAAAGGACCCGTGGCACCGTCTCTCGGCCCGGCCAATGACACCGGATCGTCCCTCGGCGCGCATCCCCGTCATTCGCTACCTTTGCGACTTGCCCGGTTTTTTCTAGAACCTCCCCTCCACATCCACTTCCACGCTTCACAACCACGCAACCTTACGCAACACCATCACTTCCGACCACTCTCCTCTCGCCGTCGTCTCCAACTTTCTGCCGTCATCCTCTCCGAGTCCCGTAGGGCCACCTTTGACACACAACCACTCCTCACGCAGACCACACTCGCTCCCTCATCCACAGAACTGGACGCTCGTCGCATCCCTGTCCGCCGCTCTCATCATCGCCTCTTCGCCCATCATCCACCACCACCACCACCAGGACCCCAAAAGCTGACAGCGCATTGCCTTCTTTCCAGTCCTGCTTCTACAGCCTCACCAAAGCCAACGAGCCACCACCTGGATCCTTGACCCAGGCTGGTGATCATCGACGCCAGTTGGAGCCGGATCGAAACTCTCAACGACCCAAGCAGCCAAGCACCTGAACCGAATAGAAGAGAACAGCTCGTTTTTTTTTTATCTTTTTTTTTACTTCCATTTACCCCACTGCTTCTGCAGCCCTCTTCTCTCTTGGTGCTGCTGCATTGTGTCGACTCCTTTCCCTTCCAAGGACCTTACCAGAGCCTGCGCCGTAGTGTACGACCTGCCTTGCTGCAGAACGGCCTGATCTTCGAACCCCGCGAGTCGGAAAATTCCAGACGAGGGCATCCCCACGGCACCCGACACCCACGATCAACATTTCACCCCATCCGCCACGATACCAATCACTGCTGTCGCCTTCGACCTTGCCTCACTTCACCTCTTCTCTCCTCCTCCACCCCCTCCCCCTCCTTCTCATCCACTTTTTTCTCTCTCCCGGTTCAGCGTCCTTAGCTTTAAGGACCGCCTACTCCCGCCAAGGTGGCTTCCAGTCAGCCTCTTCTGGCATCTTCTGGTGCACTCCAAAACATCACCGCCTTGTTGCCCACCACCCTCCAGGTCTATCTCGACAAGTCCATCGCCAGCCTATCCAAAGCTATCGCCAACTACTCCGGATACATTTCCGACACCACCGGCATCGATCCGAACCTCATCCTCTACTCCACCATTGGCTGCATCCTTCTCGCAGTCCCCTTCACCATGTCTCGATACGGCTGGTCGACAAATCGGGAACAAATATCCCCCTACGGCTCCACCCTCAGCGGCGTTCCCGACGTCACGGACGAAGACTTTAGCTACATCACTACAGAGGACCTGCAGTCAACTTCTCTTGGTAGCTCCGTCCCGACGAGATCTTACGCTCACAACCCCCGATCCCGCGGCAGCGTCCCCGACGACGATATTCTCCTTATCAAGAACAAGGGCATTACCTACCCCGCCCACTTCCCCGCGTATGCCATTGGCGACGGCAAGCTGCGCGTCCGCGATGTCCGAGACCGTGTAAGCGTCTTGTTGGAGCTGTCCGAGAGACGTGGGCGCCGCGTCAAGCTTCTTTACAAGGGCCGCCAACTCAAGGAGCCGGCTGCGCCCGTCAGGGATTACGGTGTCAAGAACAACAGCGAAGTCATGGTGGTGCTGCCCGAGGGCGAGGTCGACGCCGAGAGCAGCGACGACTCGGACGAGGAAATGGTCGTTGTAGGTGGCGATGGCGGCAGCGCTGTGGGCAGCAACGGTGGCACCGATGACGGAAAAAAGCGCCGTGGCAAGAAGAAGGGTCGCAAGTCCAAGAAGCGCAGCAGCAACACCAGCCCGCGAGACAGCGCATCAAATCTCGGTGTCCCGGGTCAGGAGAGACAAAGCTCGCCGTCCCCCAGCAAGGCCAACGGCCCCCATGCCAAGCTTGATGCCATTGCAGCAAAATTCGAGGCGGATCTGCGCCAGCCTTGTGAGGACTACATCGCCTCGCCCCCGACAGACCCTAAGAAGAGAGAGGAGGAGCACCGCAAGCTGTCTGAGACGACGATGCAGCATGTACTTCTGAAGCTTGACGAGGTGGAGACGGAAGGCGACCAGGAGGCCAGAATGAAGAGAAAGGCCTTGGTTCAGACCGTTCAGGATGTCCTGAAGCGCCTTGACGCGAGGCTCAAGGCATAAAAGAAGCGAATTGGGGCGTCATTGAGGGTGCCTGCTGTTTCTGCGATACATTTGTTTACTAATAACGGCCTACTTCCGTTGAATACTTCTAGATGAGCATTTGTGGAGGGTTTTCTATTCAGTCAAGCTGCATGTTTTATCAAAGCGAGATTTGCATCTAGAGGCATGCCGTGTAGAATAGCGGATGCGACGGGAGTTGAGGACAGCTTGTGACGGGATGCTGTACAACGATGGCCATCACTTGAGCAGAAGATGACGCTAAGCAATGGGGACCAGAGACGACGAGCAGAGACGACAAGCAGAGGCAGAGACAGAGACAGAGGAGACAGAGAGGCGCATAGCACGCCGTAGACAGGTATTGCAAAACAACCCAAGTTTACTGGGATCTTCACTCCATCCATTGTGCACATGATGCATCCGAGCACAGCCTACCAAGTCCTGGATCTGGATCTTGGAATAGCAGCATTCTGTCATTGAAGCAGGGCTGCAGCGTGACGTTGTCGACGAGGTCTGGTCGTGGGGATATCCCGGTCTCCCGTTGAACAATTGTGCCATGCTTGACGTCGTTGGCTTAGTCAACGAGTATCCTTATCTCATGTGACAGACAGAGAGGTCGTTATCGATTACCTTAATCCGGTATCGGGTATCACTTCCTACCCGGCCTGGGGACCCGGAGAGAGAGGCCCGGTGAATGAGGTGGAAGCGACAGTGACAGACGTGGGCAAGGTGAGTCGTCGATTGGGGTCTGGCCGCCGGCAAATGCCCCGCCACAGTACCTTACACCGAGGTGAGTCTGCACTGGAAATCCAGGTGAGTCAGCAAAGACCTAACGCTGTGGGCACTGAAGGCACTGAGAGGATGCGCGCCTTCTGGTAGGTCTTTCCAGCCCTAAGCTGCCTCAGGCCCCACTTCCAACCCTCGCTTGTGATGGAGACTGCCTTGCCACAAAGGGCTAGCGTCATTCATTTTCCTGGCGTGCCATTGGGGGGGTTTTGTGTGTGCGTGTGTAAATTTCTCATTGACCTGTCCCCTTCCCAGTTGTGTGCCCGCCCCGATTTCAAGATTGTCGCGACGGCTTCTTCCAAAACTCACCCTCCGACAATACTAACCCAACGGCAGCAGACCAAATCTCTACAGAGGCACCCATTCCGCCCAGAGATTTGAATCCCCCTTTTCCTTCTTTTTTTCAGCAGAACACCGCGAACCGGTGTTTTTAAAGGAACAGGAAACGATGTCTTCTTTCGAGCCGGTGGTAAGTTCTTTACCGAATGATCTTTTTACAGTCCCATTTCGAGATGAATGGGATCTGCGGCATATCGACGATGAGGATTTTCGGGATACTTGTGGGAGCGAGGAATACCATGCGATGGGACAATGGCACTTGACTGCAGCCCGCCTTCACGTCAACGCTGCTTTCGCTTTTCAGCTCGCCGCCGCTGTCGCCGCCGACGCTTCAACAATCAATCCCGAATCTTCTCATCGGTCGACCGCGAACACATTTTGGAGATACAGATCGCTGACTCCAGTTCCTCTCTCTAGGTCGTCATCGACGGCAAGGGCCATCTCCTTGGTCGTCTTGCCTCCATCGTCGCCAAGCAGCTTCTCAACGGCCAGAAGATCGTCGTTGTCCGCACCGAGGCCCTCAACATCTCTGGCGAGTTCTTCCGTGCCAAGCGTATGTCGACTCTCTCCCTCTCTCTCAACCCTATCCCACACCGGTCGCAACACCCAGTCTGTCAAAAGAGGAGGAAACACTATTGGGAACACATGGAGACTTGCGGTGCCGACAATCCGAACCGATCGAACATATACTGATGAATGGCTATAGTCAAGTACCACGCCTACCTGCGCAAGATGACCCGTTACAACCCGACTCGCGGTGGTAAGCCAACACACATACATACATATACATCCGGGCTCTGCTCTGTCTCCTAGCTGAGATACTCAACTCGAGGACATTCAAATGTCTGACTTGACCGCTATAGGTCCCTTCCACTTCCGCGCCCCGTCGCGTATCTTCTACAAGACCGTCCGTGGCATGATCCCCCACAAGACTGCTCGCGGTGCCGCCGCTCTTGAGCGTCTCAAGGTCTTCGAGGGTGTTCCCCCTCCCTACGACAAGCAGAAGAAGATGGTCGTCCCCCAGGCCCTCCGTGTCCTGAGACTGCAGCCCGGCCGTAAGTTCTGCACCGTTGGCCGTCTCTCCCACGAGGTCGGCTGGAAGTACCAGGACGTCGTTGCCAGGTATGTGGCCCCCCACCAGGAACCTAGCCCTGGGTCTCTCAATACTGACAAACCCCCAGACTCGAGGAGCGCCGCAAGGCCAAGGGCGCTGCCTACTACGAGCGCAAGAAGGTCGCTCAGCGCCAGCTCACCGACGCGAAGAAGAACGCCAAGGTCGACCAGAAGACGGCGCAGGCCCTCGAGGCCTTCGGCTACTAAACGTAGTCGACAAATCACTTTTCGACGTTGATTGTTTTTTTGGATCCGGCCCGTCTTGAGGGGAATGGAGGAGGAGAGGAGGGAGGGCTTTATCCCCGTTGAGCCGCCACCATACCCACCACCAACACCCACACGATAGTCCGACCAAAGATGAAGAGACTCGGAGGGTGATTTCTCGCGCATTTCTGTCCTCTTCCTCGCGTTTCCTCATTAGATTGGCGTGGGCGGTTCACACGGGAAATTCTTCATTTTGCTGATGGCACAAATGGGCTGGTCATTGGAAGGGGGGGGAATTCAAAAAATAAGAGATGATTTTGGGGGGCCCAAACACGAGAGAAGAGAGTTTTTATGGAGTGAGTCCGAAAAGGCTTCGCTTTGCAAAATCATCATCATCCTGTTCAATACCCCCCCGCGCCGCCGTTCTCGGTGTTTTCGGTAAATCCGGTTCAACCACCAAAAACACACAAATACGCACCAACCAAAAACCCCCTTTTCTCGCAATAAGTCACAACACAAACACTCAATCAAGATGATTCATGTCCATGCGCTTTTGTTTTCCTGGTGTACTTTGTCTTTTTAATGGTGGTTACCGTAAAAAGATTTGGGGTTTTTGGCTTTCTGAATTATATGGGAATTGATAACACACACTTCAACAATAACCAACCGATCGATCAATGGCCTCCCCTGTCTCATCCTCTCTTTTTTTTTTCCATCTTTCCCCCCCTCCCCAAGGGTTTTCCCTCTTTAGACGAACAACCAGTAGTCCCAGATGAGGCGATATTCGAAGAAGAGCAGACGGAAATCAAACGAACAAAAAAGAACTATGAAGACGAAAAGTATACCACGGCATTTTGGGAGGGGAACCTTGGCGAGGCGTCTTGTGCTTAGAGAAGTAATTGCATTACAATCATGAAGACTTCATGTGAAATGATGACAACCATGTGGCGATCTTTCGAGTGTCCTGATGAAGTGAATGTTCATGAAGTGAATGTTCATGAGGTTTCTTACCCACAGAAAGTGAAATGAGTGACGACGAAAATGACAGAATATTGGCAATCTTTCAATGCACATCCCAGGCTCTCAATGCACGCGAAACTCAAGCGGTTCTCATCTTCGGACGATCATCTTTATCATTTGACACACCCGCGACGGCACTTAGTGAACGTGACATGTTCGCGACAAGACGCGTTGGTGTGCCCTATCTTATCCCAAGTCCCAAGGGACCCGCCGCCACAACACGGAACGGTCTTATCGTCCAAGGGTCCAGCTCAGTGCCCCAAAACTCACATGGAGAGTTCGGTTTTCTGGTGAAAATCGAGATGCAGGAGCCGTTCTGCTGAGTGACGCGCCCTGCTCGTAGACGCGGATGTGTTGCTGTAGCTGCAGGTAATGAGACCTCCGCTAAATGGCTTACTATGGAACCTTCCGGTAAGGTCATTGAGCAAGCGACGAGATCAACGCGCCGGCTGGGAAAGGAAGACGAGCCCTCTGTCGAGGAAGCCTCGCCTTGCGCGGCGCGGCCCCGGACGCGCGCTATATGGGTACTCACCAGATCGTAGTCCTCAACAATGGGCGATTGGTTTAGTGGTATAATGACCGCTTAGCATGCGGTAGGTCCTGGGTTCGATTCCCAGATCGTCCAGTCTTTTGACTTTCCCGGCGACTGCTCTATCTTTTGCCACTTGTGAACTATGTCAATTGATGCCATGGTAATCTGGAAGGTATTCAAGTGAGCATTAAAGCTTGCAGTGTCCTTTTTGCGTATATTTGTCCGCTTTTTCTTCAGCTGCTCTGAAGGAAGCAGGTGCCGTTTGTGCTTGCCAGTCTGAGGCTGAGTGAGCTGGGTGTTTGTGTGTGGTCCGTGCTTTCGACTTCATGTCAACATCAAGACGCGGCTTGAGTTGCTCAATAAGTGCCATTTCTTCATTATACAGCAGAAATTCGCCCATGAAATGAGTGTTTCCAGGTCAGAAGAGTCAGAGAATCTCAAAGAGGTGCAGAAAACTGTGTCCAGGGACACACAATCCAAAGTGACACAAGATCTGGGTGATGCAATGAATTTCCATCCAAAACCATCAAATAATGATGATAAAAAAGAGAAGTAAGTCACCACAACGAGTTCAATCTTTGTTTTCTTCGTAAAACTGTTTCTTGATGCGGTTTAAACACACTGAAGACCTTTGTTAATGGTTTGTTGGACGCAGAGAGTTCGAGGAGGCCTCGGCCGTGGTCGCGAAGCACGTCAAGCTCCTGCGGGAGTACAACCAGATCAAGGATGTGGGGCAGCAGCTGATGGGCATGGTTGCCGAGAAGAGGGGCGTCACTGTGGGAAGTCTGTATGAGACTCGGGAGTTTGGAGTTGGGCCGAAGGATTGAGATGGGGACGTGGTGGGCTGAGATGTGTGTCGCGATTGCGGGTGGAGGAATTATGCGGCCGACTTTGGTTGATGCTGTATGCATGATCAACCGGAAACGTTTGATGGGAACTGGAGTGCTCTCAAAACAAAGCATATGGACTCTGCATCTGATCTGATTCTGTCAAGGTCTACCGTGACGTG